GTTAAGTAGCTCTGCACTGGTAGTGATTAGGGAGTAGACATCTACATGTAAATAGTTGTTTTTTTAAACCTCAATTGGAAGCCTTCAACCTGTTGAAAAAATCATTAAAAGTAAGATAATAATGTGAAAAGGCTATAATTTTCAAAAATACTTCTTCACACGGCCAATCCCACCACCAGTAGTCCTACAGAGTAGTAAAAGGAGAAGACAGAAACCCAGAATTCATTCAATCCTATACATTAACTTTTCTGTTACGTAAAGTATTTCTGAATCAGTTTTAAAATAGCATGAGGATTAGGAGATCTTTAGGGTAGCCTGCAGTCGTTCTGGTTACGTACTTGTCTGCCTGTGGGTCTTGTGCCCCTGCTGCTGGGCAATGTGCTTCAATGTGGTAGGCCAAAGTTCTCCCAACAATTAATGGTCCTGTAAGAAACAAACAGAAAAACACCCACCCAACCAAAAAAAAAACCAAGCCCAACCCTGCTAGTTTTTGTAGCAAGAGTTTCCTTCCAATGTTGCTTTTAGTATCCTGGCAGACTTCCCAAAGAATGCTGTTATAATGATTCATACTAATATTAACGTTACCTGAAATAAATAATTTACCTTATATGCCTTTAAGGAAATAGGGCACTGAGAAGCTTAACTTTATCAAACCTGAAAATAAATCTTAACTATTAGAGGGGAAAAGTATTTTTTTCTTCTTTTGGGCTTATTTGTAAGTCTTATTGTGAGAAAGGCAGGTAATAAAGCTTCTGCTGCTTCCATGGAGTCTGAGATCTTTTGTGAAATTTTGCCTTATAACTCAAGCTGAGGCAAGATACTTTCCTACAAAAGTTCTATGTAGCAATTTTTGTTCTCCTCTGAGTGTGTTTTGGAGTCTTTGCACTGAGGAAGGCCTGTCCCACTATGAACAGTGGGATGTTGTGGTGATGCTTGATACTGGATATGGCTTATAGGCATCCACCTGAAAGAGATACATTTTCCTTGGGATTGCAGAATTACAATTTGAAGTTTAGCGTCTATCTCACTCATTCTCATTGGAATGCCTTGACCTCTGGGTCAGGGGCTATTTGAGCATTGTGTGCTGACTCCAAGTTGCTTGTTTGTGCACATATATGGGGGTTTGGGTTGAACACCTTTTGTTTTTACTATTCTTGCTCAGTATTGCTTCAGAAAATCTGTGGTGACCTCAAGAACTCTTTCTGATAAAAACTAGTGCATGTGGTTTTATTTTTGTTTTCTTTTAACTGTCAGGCATCTGCAAGAATATTTGAATGCAATAAATTGTTATTTCCTTGTAAAAAGAGGAAATTTATTTTTAAAAATAAAGCCCAAGTAATCATCATTTAACTTCTTTTGGGCTCTTTTCTCCCTGTATAAAGTGAAAGATAAAGCCCAACTAGAAACATCGGTTAGGGAGTTATGAGTTACAGTGCAGCACTGAAGGGGCTGTAAGTGATGACTTTGCCTTTATTAAACAAAGAATATGAAGTGCCTTGCACTTCTCTGTGGCTGTGCTCTATGCAAAGTAATTCCTAAGTGCATGTTAAAAGGAAACCTACCAAAATACAAGGTACATTGCTCTCATACTTGTTTCTTCTGTGAAGGAGTCCGTAAGGGATCCATGTGCAGGCTTACTGGAAAGGATACCTCGGCTCTTTCTCCCCAAGCTGTGATGACCAGTATTACATCTCATGGTCGTAGCTATGCCAATCTCCTCTTTATCCAGGACAGGCATGGTCCCAAAGCAGGAATATATTGCACTTGATACAAATTGCTGCAAACTGACAGAAATGTTCACAAAGTTTAGGCATCTCAGACTGTCAGGTTTCTTCCACTCTTCCTTCTCACACACTTGTCTTTAGAATAGTAAAATACGCTTTTGCACATATTTGCAAAGTTCATCTCAAGATGATACAGAGAGATACTTTTATGGCTGTATTTAATTTTTTTTTAATAGAGAAAATGAGTGATCCACCAATCCAATTTTCAAACAAGATTGTTGCCTGGTGCTGATACTGGCAGGCCCAAGAAATCTTTACACTTCTGCCTGTTACTGTCTGGTGCCCAGGAAGATCTTGATGATTCTGATTTTCTTACGCTAGAGAGAACTGAATTATTGCTGGTAACATCAAGAGTTGATTATTATTGGCCTATGAGATCCAGCTGAGTCCTGGGTTTGTACAGTTTAAGGCTCTGATGTATGAGCAGTGGTGCCTGTAGCTGTAGAAACCCATGTTCCTGCCCACTCCATCTCTGGAGGATGACATTTTCCATGGCGAGGATGCCCTGTTGCAGAAGGGTGACACCTCACTCTGTGCAAGCTTGTGTGTTAGACCTCTATAACAAGCTGCCTTAGATTAAGGGTGTGTGTGAGAGCTGTAACCCAGTGCTGACTCCAACAGCTGAGGCCAGCTGTGATCAAGGCTGTGCTGGTGGAGAGGCAGGGACCGGTGGGTGATGCACTCTTTATCCCTGCCTGTGTGAGAGGAAGGCAGTTTCTACCAACAAGAGGAGGAGGTTTTTGTTCATTCGTGCTGACGAGAGCATGCCTGCTTTCCCGGAGCTCCCATCTTGCCCTGCAGGCTCCCAACTACACATATTCCCGGAGTACTGCTCTGCCTCTGGCCCCTCATCCTTGTGGACCTTGCCTTCAGATCTACCTCTCTGGGAAATCTTTGCTGGCTTTGCCTAATAATTGAGACGAATGATTGCTGTCCCCATGGGCTAATTGCACATGTAATCTATTCTTTCCTCTTTTCCAGGACTCTTCTTTCCACAGAATAAACCCCAACCACAATAAAACCACAAAAAAAAAAAAAAAAAAAAAAAAAAAAAAAAAAAAAAAATCCAAGCAGAGAAATAGATTTTGCTATTTAAATGAATATCAATGAAGGGCAAAAGGAAGCAGCGGGATTTTCTACACTTGTTCTTTCTAGATAGACTTACTGATGCTATGAGGAATGTTTGCTTATCTCAGTGAACAGCAGACCTTCGCATCACTTGGAAACTAAATACAACGCTGAGAACTGCTTGGTAACGTTTCATCCCCAAAGGATGCTGTTGCACCGTCATTTTATGAGACTGATTGCTTTCTGACTGACCTACTGGGAAAAAAACCCAAGCCCATGTTTTGTGACCCCTCCTATGATTCCTTGCCATTGCTGCATGCCAGGAAACTCCTCTGGTTCTTTCACTCAGAGTGATTGTCACTGGCATTGTATGCTTATTCAATCAGATAAATGTTACTGGGTGCCTAGTAGCTGAACGAGTTTTCTGTAGCCAAATGGGCATGTGTATCTATATATGAGTTAACTTGGTTGAATCTGCAGTGAAATTGTGCTGATCAACTCATGTAAAATGGTTGTTAAGGCTAAATACCTGTTGTCTGCTTAGGAAGGAGTATACTGTTTTGTTTGGTCTAGTTGTGCCAGAATCAGTCTTCAATATGGTATGTGGTGGACTTGATAAATAACTGTATTTAATAATTGATTTCTGAAACACTAAATAAGTAATAGAAGTTATGAAGGCCCTGTTCAGAGCTCCAGCCACGTTTGAGTAGCTAAACATGATAATTTTTCCTAGGTTAAATCCATGTAAGTTTGGTTGTTGAATTCTTAGTGACTAGTGAAACAAAGCACTGTGAATGTTATGTTAAAAAATGAGTGCTATTGTGGTTGTTAACATACACATTCAGTACATTCACTCTGTGCTAATATTTAAAGTTTTGTGTCTTGTCTATTAACATCCAAATGCTAACTTAAGAGCAGAAAAGGAATGTCAGAATTCATCATATGTCCTTCATAAATCATATGGGAGCCTAGGTTAAGTGAAGTGTGATAATCCCACTCTTGTCTTGGATACCGGAGAGCCTTGGTTTAGTGTTAGAGTGCACTACAATTCGTAGCGGCATAAAGGACTTAGGGATAACACATAGAAGTACAAATGCGTATCTGAAGTGAATTAAAGAAATGGGGGCTTAAAAAACATCAAAGAAACAGGGACATCACTTATATAAGATTCTCTTTGCACAGTTTGGAATTACAGGGAACCTTTAATGTGAGACTCAATTTTTTCCTCTCACTCTGAAATGTCTTAGTGTTGCTACCATGTTGCGTATGGGCTGAAGTATAAATGGGAACTGGGGTTGAAGTCGGCCTGATAACCAAATGAGCAAGGAACCAGGACAAAGTCCAGCAGTCAACACCAGATGTAATAAGTTGTAAAAAATGAGGTGGATGGTACTTCTGATAAGTGGCAGCTTGGATGCTCCAGAGCTGTTTAGAAATACATAAAGAGGTACATAACACTTCCTGCTTTCATTTCTCTGTGGGCTAATGGGTAGAACAAGGGCATTGATCTGCTAAATTTCCACTCTGGTAAGCTTGTAGTATATATACTGGAAAGAAAATTGATGATTTCTGATTCTTACGCTGTAGAAATCTGATTTTCTTGAGGTAGTATTTATCTGAATTGGATTTACTAATTAATTATATGCAAGGTAAAAAGTGGTTTTGTCTTCTGGCCCATATTAAAATCAGTAGCTTCAATATGGTGGTAATACATGTATGGATAAGAGTGCTTTAGCGTGGGTATTTCTTTTAAAGACCAAACTCCAAATGCTACCTTCTCTTTGGAAGAAGAATGTGATTTCATGAAAAGTTGTATGGAAAATTGTTTTGTTGGGGGAGAAGAAATTGCAGAGGAGTCCTTCTGAAATGACTTCTTATTCTTCTAAATAAAGGTTCTATTGCTAGTATGTAATGCTGTTGGGGAAAAACACCTTACTGAATAATGGAATATGACTTTTGTAGGCATTTTCTAACTTTTTAATTGCCAAAGCTGTTATCAGAGCATGAAAGAGTTAGTATGAATCTTAACAATTGTGTTTGCTACTTTTTAGATGTGCAAGCAAAATTTACAGCTTTGTGTAAAAGTAAGATGGAAAAAAAATTGCATCTCATTTTTTTTGTTTGTTTTTCTTTTCCTTTTTATAATAGGGCTTTATTTGTCCTCTTTGTATGAAGTCTCATGGATCAGCTGAGGAGCTGTTCAAACACTATGAAGCGGTTCATAATTCTGGCATTGATTCAACTCATGGAGGGGAAGGTCATCTGTCACCGGAAAGGTGAAACAATACTCATTTGTGCATGTGCTTTTGTATCAGTGTTGAGCTGCTTCTAATTACACTGAAGGCTGTATAAATTTGAATACTTACTTATGTAGTCAAGTATTTAAATGTTCACGCTCTATTTTTTCAGCTAGAATTAAAAAGGAGCTTGAAACTTATATTGTCTGATATGGATCTGACAATAAATGAAAATCAGATGCACATGTTCATTACAATAATTAAGTCAACTGTTTCTGATGCAGCTGACAATGCAATATTACAGACCAGAATCATTTTTACAAGTGTGGCAGAAAAAATACAGATTCCTTCTAACTTTTGTCATAGAGCTGAAATATCATCATTTGCGGGTGGGGGAGGACAATCCTAAAGATAGAGAAGAAACCCGATTTTGTCCCTGGGTAGGTAGGGTACTTACTGGGTAATCACAACATCAGTATTTGCTTAAATAGTTTCCCTTATTACCTAGTTATTTGCAAATCTGAGAAGTTTCTGTCTGTACCACTAATCTTCCTTCTGTGTTTCAGAATCTCCATGCTGTTCTTCAGAAATCTTCTCTAACTTATTTTATTTAATTGTTTGGTCAAAGCTATGTTGTTACTTGCCTCCCTAGGAAGCATATCAGGTGGTTTTATTTTTGAGAGCAGCAGTATGTAGCAGGAACTGATAACATGAAATGTTCTCTGGAAGTGCTTCACTAAGTAGTCTACCTGTGTTGGTTTGGGAAGGTTTCTCTTGGGGGTAAAATTTACCCCCCCAAAATAGGTTCTGTTTTGCTTCCTGCTAGTTCTCTTTCTGTTCAGTGCTTGTTTTACACTGTTGTAAATAACAGTCCGTGGTGCTGTTTTGTCACACTCCCCCAAACTCCCAAGTTTTACGTAGGATGGTCAGAGCGGGCAGCACAGAGGTATACACCACACCAAGCTGTGGCTTCTGCTGATGCTGGGAAATAGAGAGTTCAAATGTTTTGTCACTAGCAGAAATGTGACCCAAAATGATTCTTTGGTGATAATAGAGTGTGGAAGGTAACATAGTTTAGTTGTTATCCAAATGCAGATCCGTACCTCCCCAGTATTATGCAGAGCTGGCAAGCCTGTAGGAGCCAGCATTAGCACAAGTCTTGTCTTCATGCGTGAATGGCTCCTTCCTTGTGGGTAGCAGCCTTCTCTGTCAGCTGCTGCAACAAAAGAGATCAGAATTAGTGTTTTATATAGGATAAAGTGGTAAGGTACTAGTGGAGTCATACTGGGTTTCTGATGTGCATATTTATTCAAGAATGAATATTTCTTCTTTGTCTGGTTTCAGTCTTTTTGGAGTAATACAACTTAGACCTGAGGTGATAGTTCAGTAGGATAATAGCATTCACATGGGGAATTATTGGTCATAACTATATTGTTTATATAGTTTATGAAATACGTCTTTTTTATTTTTATGTCTGCAAGTTTCCAATGTCAACCAGATGTTGGCTGGTGATATTTATTTTTTGTTTTCCTGACTTTTGACAGTTTAAGGACAAGTGGTTTTGTTTTCTCTCACATAATTGGAAAAGTGGACAAGGTCAGGGAGTTTTAATGGAGTGAAGGGAATCTGGTGAGAGCCATTGTGTAACACATGAGCTATATTTTCCAATTAGTGTGGCATTCTTTAATGCTTCTTAGTTGTATGCTTGCTTGAGAAAACTCTCATTCAACATAAACATGTTTTTCCAAGACTTGGAATTTCATATTAAATATTGCAGCCTGCAAGAGGGAGTCACTCCATTAGCTCTCAATGAGTGAAGCTTATGTGTAATTCATAGGACCAAGGTTGGGAGGTGAAATTCCCTATTTAGTCAATAGGGAAAGTTAGGTGCTATGAATTACACAGTGTCCTCTTCCTCCCAGTCCCCTGTAAACTACTATGATTAAATGCCGAGAGTGAATCATGTAACTCTCCCTGTGCGATTCAGCAAGGCCGTCAGTACTCAGTCCTAGGATAGAGGCACAAGTGGGGAACAGGTTGGAGCATAAGGAGAAGGTAGTAAGGATTTGCCAGCTGGTAGGCTCAGATGTGCTGAGAAGAGGAAGAGATTGTAACACCCCTAGCAGAAAAGGAGGTTTGGTGAGGATTTGGATGACAGGAAGAAAAGCAAAGTTACAGTGTCTGTAGGGATCCCTGACACTAATTATCCCCCATTTATTTTCCACTGGTCAGTTAAACTGAATTTAGGTTTTGTCTTAAAACTGTCAAGTAAAATTTTGTGGGGGATATCAAGGCAACTACTGTAGAAAGGTCCTTACATTACAAACTTTTTTTCCCTTCTCCTCCCCTCCTCCTTCTCTTCTACTACAAACTAGTTTTATATGACTCAAACCCTTTAATCTACTGCAAAGACCAGACTGTCTTAAATGCTTTAATATTGGAGGTATGGTATATATATTCAGCCCAATTTCAATACAGTTAACTGTTTCACCTGCCTGAGACACTGTTTATAATCTTAGATGTGAATATTATCTGATTTACTTACTCATACTGGTGAGAAAGCTGCTCGCTCTTCTCCACCCACAACAAGTGTACAGGTTTTGGATTACAGCTATACCTACCTCAGTAAAGTTGTATCTGTAAACCTCTAGTAAAGGTATCACACTGGCAGAATAATGTGTTCATAACAAGATTTTCCTCTGGAAAAAATAAATCTGCCAATATCCCATGTTTGTTTTATCTTTAAAATTGGTCCGCCTTGGGGTTCTTGCTCTACTGGTTCAAGTGCATGCGTTTCACTTGATACTTGATGATTCTGACTTGCTGTTAATAGGCTAATGTGGATTGAATCTATTTGTTACCAGTTTAGCTAAGGAATAGCTTGCTTGGTTTTTTCCTCCTAAGTGTGAGATAAGTTAATATCTGTGGAGGAGGGGTAATGCAATGCAGCAGCAATAAAATTATGTGGTATAAAACTGAACGAATTTGTTGGCACTGGCACCCACACACATATTCTGTGTGTTGCCACTGTGCAAAAAATAAGAACGAGTATTTTTTCATTATATTAATGGCACTTGTATTCTAGATTTGGAGTGGCTGTATGCCAGTAATGCAACATTATCCTTGTATATATAGTTGTGCAATTCTGTAAGGAGACTTGTGACTTTGAAGGATGCTGTGTGAATCAATTAGTAACAGTTGTAGCCTTGGATCTTGTGTTCTTGCATGACTGGAGGCTTGAGTATGAAATCTGAGAATTTAAAATTCTCAGGCTTTAAATATTCAGACTATTAAATGAATGTGTCTGCCGGGCATACCAAATTGCCATGTGGATGAAAAATTACGTAACTTTAGAAAGGGTAAGATAACATGTTGTCACTTACCAGTATTCCTTTACATGATATGGGAAGTAAAAGAGAATAAATCTGTCCTTTTTGTAAAAAGGCATGCAAAACTGTTAAATTTTCCAATGCACAGCTTTGTTACTCTGAACTCATGTGGCTGAACTGATGCACTCATTTAGATTTACATTCTGTTTTCCTGAGACCTTTTTCATATCTATTTCTTTACTTATCCAGTTAATATGTTTGGCATTTTTCAAGTGATATGCAAAATGATATTGATCTGATTTGTTCCAAGTTTGAAAAAAATCTGTAAGTACCTATTCATAATTATGTAAGTTATATTTAGGTAGTACATGGCTATCAGTCCAGTTACTTAACATTAAAACCTGTATGTAACTGACAAAATATAACCACTGTGTATTCATTTTCTCCACTCTGTGGGTATATTTATTCAGAGATGAAGTATCACTGCTCCGACAAGAAGTCCAAGACTTGCAAGCTTCACTGAAGGTTGGAAATGTATTTTACTTGCACTTGTTTTTTTGTTTCAAATTGCAAAGTAGTCCACTGTCTTAAGCAACCAAATTTATAGTTCTCTTTTCCCATCTTCTTTTTTGTTTTTGTTGTTATTTTCCCCCTAGGAGGAGAGGTGGTATTCAGAAGAGCTGAAGAAAGAACTAGAGAAATTGCAGGGGCAGCGGCAGCAAGTAATTGCTTTAAAATACTTGAAGCAGGTTTATCCTCAGCATTGACATTGAAGATTAATACCTTTTTTGTAAGGCACGTGGCCTGATTTAGTTAGTTCTGTAATTTAAATATTGACATGTTCTTGGTAAAACAAAGCTAGTTATCTCTCCACAGTGTAACTGGATTTATAAATGTGAAGAGCAAAGTCAGAATAGGTAGTGATTCCTCCATGCTACTCACTACAAGTTCAGTTCAGACTTCTTCTGTTAGGCTTATTGAGAACTTAGATTATTAAATAAAATAAATTGAATGTGTTGTTTCATTGTTTATGAGAAAGGGCAGTGAAGTCTTTCTTGTAAAAACTTTTGGAAAACAGCAGTGGGATTTTATAGGTATTCAGATGAGCTCAATAAACAAGGCAAGACAAATTGTGGTCTGTTGTGCCCTAAAGGAAGGTCTCACTTCTTTTATTGCTGTGAGCTACTTAGATACTGGATAGTTACAAAGCTCAGAAATTGCTTTCTGACAGAATGCCTTCTCAGAAAGTACTTAAAGATGTCTGTAACCTCTGTTTTTCAGGCAGATTTCTATAATGAGGAAAGGGAGGGGGAGGGGATTGTTACTGGAGTTTTGCAAGTGGAAACCTAATAGTGTAATGATATATGAAATGAAAAGTCTTTTCCAGTCTTCCAGATATAACTGTTTAAAATCAGGTATTTTTATACCGCTGTGTATAGTATTTGAGCACAGAAGTGCTTTCCCTGTCTTTTCCAAAAACTGGATGAACTTTGGAAGTAGTAGTTTTTATTCCTACTGTCTAATGGTGCATTTATTCTGTTTTCTTAAGGATTCTAAGTCTGATGGATTGACAACAGCTACATCTACAGGTGGCTAACATTTTATTATATTAATTTCTGCACTGTTTTGGAATTTCTTTTGATGTAGTTTAGGTAAATTAGCAATTTTGGTACATTAAAGAGCTAGAAAGCTGTAATGGTGCAATTACCAGGAAAAAAAATTATTGTAAGAGCTATCAAGAACTATCTATCTTAAGCAATAATCTGGGAAAATGTTCCAGAGGCTCAGGGTTTGAAATTTCTAAAAGCAAGACAGGAGTTCTGACTCTGAAAGCAGTACTCGTGAGTCATTTTGAACAGCTTTTAAATCACTATATATTCAAGCAATCAGATATTTAAACGATAGCATTTGTCAGGAGTGGTTTTATGTAGTGTTTTTCTTACTCATCGTTACCAAAGAAAACAATTAAATTTGTTTTTGTTTTGCAGACCACTAATTTTTGCTCTACGTTTTTCTCCATGGAGCACTCATAGAATAACATTTTCACTATGTGTACATAAACTATTTGACCGATACTGATTAAAGCTTTTAATCACAGTTCGGGGCTTGGAATTCAGCAGCATGTTGCAGTGATCTGAAGGGCCGTTTGTGACAAGTGAAAACCAATATGTACTTAATCCTGCAGAGCACGCAACTAGTGACACGTTCCGGCATAATGCTTGTAGATATTTAATTTCAGTAAAGTTGTTCACTTTGCTAAGCTGATTGGATGTTAAGGGATTTTGGATTACGTATTTACCTGCTGTGGTTATTTACGGGCATGAGGAACTGTATTGTTCTAGCTCTTCCGGAAAATAATACTGTTCTTTTTATGGAAATAGAATCATTAGAACGGCAACTAGAAGAGATCCAAGTAGAAAATTTTAACATTAAGCAAATGAAAGACTTATTTGAGCAAAAAGCAGCGCAACTGGCCACTGAAATTGTGGGTAAGTATAGTGGGTAATATGAGATCTGATTCTGTTCTTTCCTTGTGCAACTTTTGCAAGGGATTTATTCAACTTCCTTCTTACTAGATCTTAAATCAAAGTATGATGAAGAAATCAGCCTTCGGGAAGGTGCAGAACAGAAAGTGACAAACCTGAGACAAGAACTGCAAAAAGAGAGAAGTACGGTGGAAGACTTAAAGACAGAGCTGGTATTCACATCACATTAGTGTTTTTGTTATTTTCAAGTCGAGAGGGGCATACTTGAATGCTTGTAAACACAGTTTTAAAGCAGTCAAACTCTGTTGTACTAGGATACGTCTGCTTGTGGGCTGAGAAAGTTCATAACACCATTGTTTCTGACCTGTTTCACTGATCTACATTTTCAGTGTTTTTCTAATAAGAAACTATATGTTTTTTCTGTCATAGATTAGAATTTACCCTTCATTATGTTCTAGCCTGCTTGTTCAATCATAGGGTCATAGAATCAACTGAGTTGGAAAAAACATCAGAGATCGTCAAGTCCACCCCTTGATCCAACACTGCTGTGGTTACTAGACCATGGCACTAAGTGACACATCCAGTCTTATTTTAAAAACCTCCAAGGATGGTGAATCCACCACCTCCCTGGGCAGCTTGTTCCAATGTCTGATTACTCTGTCTGTAAAAAACTTCTTCCTAATATCTAATCTAAACCTCCCCTGGCAGAGCTTAAGACCATGATGCGCTACCCTTTAGAATTTTTGCAGGGTATTACACATATAGATGTGCTGTGCAGACCTGTACTTGGAGCATGCTATTGCTGACTTTCACAGCTATATTTAGGTCACCCTTTTTCCATGAGGTTATGCTTTGGCTGTCTCTGGACAGCTGCATTTTTAAGAAGTGCTCAGAGAGGTGTTTTGTGACATGGTGGCTGAAAGACTGGCAGCTCTCATCATCATGCCTGTGTTAATCTTGTCCCTCTTGTGCTTGGCTGATAGTACCAATGTGTGTGTATTGTAAGATTTTGGCTCCTGTTGACTTTTATATACAGCCATGGCTCCAGGGAGCAATTCCAGTGACTCAGCAAGTTGGGCCACTTCTAAATAAGTCATGAAAGGAAGTTCCTAGTTTCTCCCACTCAGCTACTGCTACTCTGGAGGAAAGTAGGACTTGTTTATCCCTCTTATTTCCCATAGCTGACTGCTCCGAAGGGCCTCTTGGCCCTTTTTAGATGCTGGGCCTATCCATTCCTCTCTGTTCAGTTGTTTCTTCTCTTCCCTTTTCCTCTGCATTCTTATCCTTTTCCTGTACCTTTTCTCTTCTAGAGATGCCAGCACTTTTTCTCTGCTTTCTTCAGTGCTCATAGTTGCCTTCTGTCTCCTTTCCCTCCATAGTGCTTCATGTTGAGAGAAGTTATGGTGCTTTAGATGCAGCTACCAACAGATTTTACCTATGGGTTTGGTATGAGACATCAGCAACTTGAAGATAGTGTCTTCAAGACATTTCCTTCAACTGCCCTTTTGTTTTCTGTTCTTGTGATTTTCTGAAACAGTTCTAGAAGATGAGGCAGTATCCTGTATCTAACCATCTACATACATAAAAATTACAGAAATTTAATCTTTGGGACATTTTTCTATTTTGTCAGATTTGGTTCAAATCAATCAACACGTTAAAAGTTTAGTAGGCAAAACCTGAAAACCAGTCCTTAAATCCTGTTTCCTTTGGAAATGATAACTACTTCTCTGTGGTTTTCTTTTGGGGGGGTTTCTTATCTCTTTTTTTTTTCTTTCTTTTTTTTTTTTCCCCTCAGCCTAGCTGTGATACACTATATGTCATCTTGTCTATAAATTGCTGTTCTTATAGATTTTTAGAAATTACATTGACACTGAAAGCATGTCTGCCAACGTTATGTTGCTCACTGCTATTCAACTTTTCAGCTTCAAAGGCCTGGTGTGGAAGATGTGGCTGTTCTGAAAAAGGAGCTGGTTCAAGTTCAGACACTGATGGATAGAATGACTCTGGAACGTGAAAGAGAATCTGAAAAACTGAAAGATGAGTGCAAGCACTTGCAGGCAGAGCAGGCTAACTCTGAGGTAATAATCATACCTAAAGATGTGTGTTCTAGCTTTGTCATGGTTATCATGTGAAAATGGAATATATTGCTTAATCATTATGAAAAACTCTTTTTCTTAATTGAATCTTCTCATTTATCTAATAGACAGTAAATTGCATAATTCTGTCAATATTTAATCTCCAAAAACCCCCTCGCTTTTCATTGCGAAACCTTTTCTTGGCATAAAATGTTATTACGAGATCCCAATAGCAGTGGAAAAAACCCAGCAGAGCTGTGTTCTTTCTACAGGGAGAGATAAATAGAGCAATACCCGTGTGATTCAAAGGCTTGTTTCTCTTATTGAGCTACATGCAGATAAAAATAGTTGTTGCTGAAAATGATGGGTTTGGTTAATGTTTGAGTTGATGTGCCTGCAAATGGATGCTAGTGTTAAAATACATTAAAAAAAGATTAACACAAGGTGGATGATAATTTCAGGATGCTTATAGGACGTATGTAATTCTTGAACTTAAACAAGATTTAAACATCTCAATGGATATTGTACACTGGTTTTCATTCTTTTTTCCTAGTTTTTCCTTTCAAAGGGAAGGCCTTTTTGCACCTGTTATATAATGGAGGAATATTTTGCGTGTAAGGGAAAAATCTGTTATGTGCACATATACCCCCACCCTCCAGTCCCCTGCATAATGGCCTCCAAGTGTTGCCTTTATCAGCTAGAGCAGAAAGTGAGTGAGTGCCAGGCCTCACCATGTCTGAAGATCAAGATGTCAGGCTGTCACCTCTTAATATTTCCAGGCAACAGCACCTTGGTTTGTCTCTCTGTTACTGCAGTCTAAAGTATAAAATAAAATCTGTTGTTCTCATAGTATTTTTTTAATGCATATTACATTTTCCATCTTTTCCTGGATTTGTGCTTTTTAAATTCATCACATATAGAAAGGGACATCACTATCTACTTGAGTTGCTGATTTCTTCAGAAGTACTTTGTGAAGGCTCACTCTGCTTTGTCTGAGTCAGTGGAAGAAGTTTTAAATCACTGATTGGAGATTTGAAAACATTGGCCCATTTTTTATGTTCTTGTATATGGAATTGATGATAACTCTGTATTTAAGGAAGCAAAGTAACTGTCTCTCCCATAGCAGACATTCAGTTTTCTTGGTTTGGGTTCCTTTGCTTTTCCACCAGTGAACACTTCCATACAAGATAGAGAAAAAGGGATGCAACGGTCAGATTTGGATCTGTAAGAGGGAACTTCACTCCTCAAACTGTCTCAAATCACTCCTGGCTAAAGCCTGTTCGATGTTTACCTTGATAGTGATGGAAATCTCTGACAGAGATAATGGCAAGAAATCCTAATAAACGCACAGTATCACAAAAAAGGCTTTTATCTAACCTATAATTTAGTCTATTTAGGAGTTGTTAAATCCATACCTTTCTTGCTAGGTGTTGTTACATCTCACTGATGGGTTGGTTGATATAGTTTTACTCATGGATGACTTGACCATGTTACAATCTTCACAGAAGACTATCAGCTGTGTTTGAGACTTTTTAATTTTGTCCCCTAGCCCTTCTGTTGTCCCCTACCAATGCAGCAATGCCAGCAAAACTTGTCAGTGCAAGCTGTGGTCCCTCATAAAATGGAGTCCTTGCAAAATTCTCCGGCTTACATGAGGGATTGCTTAGGGTTTCTCTAGGACTCCTAGGATTCTCTGTCCTGTTGAGATTTGGGGATATGAAGAATTTCTGACATACTTTGTTCTGGGGTTTCACATGCCCTAGATTTTAGAACTGAAGTTTTAACTTTCTGTTTCTTCATTTGCACTGTAGAGCTTTAGAGAAATATTACTGGGTATTATTCCAAACTCTTTCTGTCTCACTCCCCAGCAGGTATGTTTAGCTCTAGGAATTATACAGTGTGCACAGTATGTACAATACAGTATGTACAATATGTACAGTATTATACTAAACATGAATCTACCATTGTTTTCAAGTTAAAATTATGTATGCCAACTGCTTCATCAGATATGAAAAGGGAGTATCAAGTTGGCATTATGAATATAATGTACTATGCGGCCATGTAAGTTGCTGCATAACTGTAATTTGGTTTTAACTGTGTGATCCCACAACTATGCTGCAGAATTTAAGTTTCATTTCAGAATACCATCTTTTTAGTCCTTTTGTGGTTTTGGATATTTAGTTTTCATGTGAAGACAAAATGGCAGTGACGTGGGCATAACAAAAACCTTTCATCTTGAAAACATTTTCACAGAAGCATGAAATGCTCTTGTTCCCCCAAATTAGTTATGTTGAAGTTTTGACAGAAATAGCCATTTTAAAATGTAGTGATCAAGTGCAGCCTTTAACAGGAAAAAAGACAAGCAGGCTTTTTCTGTCTCCTTCTGGAAGTGTAACAGCAGATGGGGGAGAAGGTAACAGTGAAGGGAGGTAACATCAGACTGGCGACCTGTCACTAGTGGGGTTCCACAGGATTCCCTCTTGTGTCTAGTGCTCTTCAACATCTTCATAAATGACTTGGATGCCAGACTGGAAGGGATACTAAGCAGGTTTGGAGACAATACAAAACTGGGAGGAGCTGCTGACTCCTTCGAAGGCAGGGAGACCCTTCAGAGAGACAAATTGGAGGACTGGGCAATCACCAACCATGTGAAGTTTGACAAGGGAAAGAGCTGGATTCTGCACCTGGGATGGGGCAACCCCAGATGTATGTACAGACTGGGAAATGAGATGCTGGAAAGCAGTGCCATGGAAAGGGACCTGGGGGTCCTGGTTGATGGCAAGTTGAATCTGAGTTAGCAGTGCCCTGGCAGCCAGGAGGGCCAACTGTGTCCTGGGGGGCATCAGGCAAAGCATTGCCAGCCAGTCGAGGGAGGGGATTGTCCTGCTCTGCTCTGCACTGGTGTGGCCTCACCTTGGATATTGTGTGCAGTTTTGGGCACTGCAATGTAGGAAAGATATTAAGCTTTTAGAGAGCGTCCAAAGGAGATCAGTGAAGATGGTGAAGGGCCTTGGAGGGGAAGCCTTATGAGGAGCAGCTGAGGTCACTTGGTCTGTTCAACCTGGAGAAAAGGAGATTGAGGGGAGACCTCATAGCAGTCTACAGCTTCCTTGTGAGCAGAAGAGGAGGGGCAGGCACTGATCTCTTATTGTTGGTTTCTCCCCCTTCTCTAAACAAAGGCATTAGAAACACCTAAATATTTTAAAACAAATTTGAGGAAGTGTGTCTGCTAACAGCTTTTGTGGCTGCTTATTTCCATCTTTCATAATCCATTTTATTTTTTCTGCTCTCTAATGCAGACACTTAAATTTGAGGTAAATTTCTTTGGAAAGCGTTTTATTCTTGTCACAGATTTCTGTTGTATCAAGATAATTTCAGGAGGTTGTTAAACAGAAGCATTCCTGATTTTTTTGTTGGTTCAATTATCATACACATCAACAAGAAGATACCAGGAATGAATATTTATCTGGGATGTATTCCCCTGTTAAGAGTGGAATGTGGGATGGACTCACTGAATTGTGAATGAGAAATGAATCTTTATGCATATAAATTACAGTTATAGTTGGAAAGGCTGCAGTGGTGTCCTTTGTGAGCTTCTGCACATTTTCTGCATTACATTCTCTCAGTATGAAATATCCATACTCTGTTTTGTGATAACATCCTGGAATGTTTATCTGACAAAGACAGATCCTATGGTGTGTTTTAGCTAACATCTCTGTTACAAAACAACTTTGTAAATCGCAGCATTACAGAAAGTCAATTAATAACTATGTGTAGTCATATAATGTGTTCATATGTTCTCTTTGGTGTTCCTTTTTCTGTAAGGAGGTTGTAGATAGTATTTGTATTGTCTTCTGTTCTGCTTTAGTTCATTCTTGAATTCCGTATTTATACATTTGTGGAGAAATCTGTGGTTACAAGAACAATGGGAAGAAAAACTTATTTAAAAAGGTCACTATTATACAGTGTATTTGAAATGAGCGCACTAATACACAGCACGCTTTAGGGCAGCTATACCCTAAAGTGCCTTTCTTGTTTTCTTCCATTACTGTATTCAGATCCTGTGCAGTCATTGATATATTTTGTTTTGAACTAGGCCTGTTTAATGGGGTAGTATTGCTCCTCTGATTATGCTGACCTCCAGTGCTGATGTGTCCAAGAGTCACATACCAAGTTTGTATCAAATGCTAGGCTTGCTTCTAGTGCCTTTTGCAGTACATTGCCCTTATCGGGGTGGCCAAGATTTTGGCCCAGCAAGTGCAATGACTTGGAAAAGTTTCACTTGAGCTACAACAGTGATAATCATTAATAGATAATCTGTTACGATTTTCATCAGTTTTGAGCTCAACCTGGCATTTGCTATTGGACTGGATCAGATTTTTGTCTTCTGAAATGGTACATGATTCGAACAAATCTCAGCTGGGAAATTATGCGCAGTGGTCCTTCTGTAGCTGATGGTGCTCTGAGATTAGTTTATAGGTGACTCTTTTCTTAAGCTGTTTATTTGTATATAAAAAGCACTTTATTTTGCTACCACACATCTTGCTTTTGTTGGATTATTCATGCAAAGCTTTGTTTTAAATGTGGATTTTTCTGTTTGTCTGTTCAGGCTACCATTAATCAGTTAAGAGCTGAACTTGCCAAAGGACCTCAAGAGGTGGCTGTGTATGTTCAGGAGCTGCAAAAACTTCAAAGTTCAGTCAAAGAGCTAGAACAGAAAAACCAGGTGAGAATACTATTATTTCCTAAGCTTGTCAGCTCACATTAAAGTGGAAACACATCACACATTGCCTTGGGAAGCACTGAAGACTAACTTCACTTCTTGATGTTGCAGAAGTTGAGAATTCGTTTGCCATTTTGCCTAACGTGAGGGATACCGTAACGTGCAAGCAAACACTAAATTTTAATGACCTTCATATGCTACAACTGAAATCGTTATGGTTGTTACGACTGCAGATTTATAAAGTTTACACTTACATATCGTTAAGTTGTATTGCCATATCACACATTAAAAGAAAAAGGTAGTACCCTGTGAAATACTACATTTGCCTAAAAATCATAATTTGAAAGATATTTTGAGGTCTCTTCATTGGTTTTCCAGTTTCTTAGCTTTTAGGCTGTACTCATGCCATATTTTTCTGGCCATTTATCACAGTCATAAGTGGTAGAAAATGGAAATAAACTCCAGAAACTTCTTAGCTTATAAATATTTCTTGAGAGCTGTTATAAGAGCTCTTTGAGCTTGCTGCATTTTGTATTTGCATTTGTAAGTCATGTATTGTGGGGTAATAAAGGTAAGGCAGGGAAGGAGACAAGGCCAAAGATGTATGCAGCTTTTTGTTGCATGGATACGTAACATTGTGTATGAACTACACATTGCATACATGTATTTACCAGCAACCTTTTCAGTCTTGGAAAACAGGAAAGGACAGGGACCAAACAGAGCGTATTTAATGTAATCTAATGTTAAAGCAGTATTTGCGAAGAATATATGAAGGTGCGATTAAAATTTGGTAAATGAAACTGCCTTTAGTGGGATGACTCTGCTTGGCTCACTAAATCAGGGGTGGAGCTGAGATGAGAATTGTCATGCTATAATTTTCCACAGACCAGCAACAATGAATCAAGCTTTTGGCAGAATTATTGCTATACAGTATAGAACCCTTTCCTGAATATATTGCTATTTCATTAACAATGTGGAGCGAAACAGATTGATGCATAAGAGAACTACACTTTAGGAGAGAGTCCTCTGCTACATCAGGTTAATGACAAACACCACTTGAGGAATAGGAAGAGAAGTGGCAGTGAGCTAATTTTCCTCTTTTCTGATTCAGTGACTCAAAGCAGTTTACAGCTATCTCTTTATGCAGTTTTTTGAAAGATGGTATCCAGAAGAATGATATGCTAGCTAAGGAATCTTGGCCCTGGAGGAGTTGTACCTAGAATTGGAAAAGGTAATATTAGCTTCCAATAACAGAAATTGCTTCCACTTTGAACAGTTTGACATCCTTGAAGAAGCTGTCAGGGAGGAAGGAGGAACCATTAATTCAGGATAGAATATATTATATGTACAGTAGGTAGAATATAATATGTATTATATACATCCATTTATAATCCAGTTGCAATGCGGGAAGATATTTCTATGAGTTTTTCAAGCTCATGTACAACATCAAGCAAGCAAGCCTTTTCTTATATTTTCAGGAGCTATACTGAGAAGAACAGGTGACAAGTATATAAGAGCAGTTCTCTGAAACCAGGAACTACCTTTTCTTCATTTTTAAAGCACTGTAATTATGGAGCTTGGCTTGCCTTGCAGAGGCCAGTAAGGGCCTGTAGCCTGGAAGAGGCCTAACATGTAAAACCAGCATAATCCCTGAAGTATAAGACTTGCTGTAATTCTAAACCCATTCTAAACCATTGCATAGTTGCTTTTTTGTTTGGTGATTTTTGGTTTTGGTGTGTGTTTTTTTTTATTTTTAGGATGATTGTGATGCATAATTTATGGGGAAAAAATCACAGTTTACATAGTTTCTAACCTGTTGATGTAATTATTTTGAAATTTAGTCAGTGGTCACAGAGTTTGTTCTTTGATACCTGGCCACTCTCAGTACTAACATGTATTATGTGTAATTTTCTAAGGACCAGTTATAAAAGAAGGGATCAGTGTGGTGTTTTCCTTGTATCTTGTGAGCTTAGAAGGCTCAGGATTCTTTGTTGAGTGCTGTAATATACTGTCATTCCCTGTTTCTTTTCTGTGGAAATCAATTCTCAGGGAAGAGAGGTGACCAGTATGTGGTTCCCTTAGCTGTAATTTACCCAGGTGTGATGAAAAAGCTGTGGTGTGTTAGTGTTTCAGGAACTCTACTCACTACAAATGTTAATAATCCTGCCTGGTCATTTCTCTTTAATGAAAAAGGGAATTGCAGTTTTATTTTATATTCTGAGTGTTAAATATATTTTAAAAGCAGTGGAAGCCTTGCCACTGTCTTCAGTAGGGTGAAGATGGATGAAATCTATATATGATTTTTATGTGCTCTATTCCTGCATTTTTATGTACGGATATATAAAAATTGTTTACCTTGCAACAAGTTTTATTTTTCAAGAAAATTTCTAAATAAACTTCTTTAGGGCTAGAATTCAATAGCCAGACTTGAGCTAGAATTACTGCTAATTTGTATGCTCTGTAAAGTTTTTGGGTTTTTGGTGTTTGTTTGGTTTTTTGTTTTTTCTTTTATGGCCATAGGGCAGTAATTGTATTTCTTCTCACGTAGTTTGCTGGACTAATAGAGTTGTTTCTTGCAAGATGGCTTGTTTTCTGACTTTTTTTTTTATCTATTCTTTTATCATGATTGTAAAATAGAAATGTCTGTATATGGTTTATAATAATATCATTACAATTTCTTGAAATATGTAAAGAACAAAACTGTTCTACTTGAATATTTGGCACTTTTTTTTTCCAGGCAAAACAGAGTTTGTGCCTGTATACTGTGCAGAAGTGTGCTTTTAAGATGCCCAGCGTAGCTAGAATTGCAGCACTAACTGTCTTATCTTTGGAACAGTGTTATTCCACAGCTGGAGAACTGTTTGAAGTTTTGATACATAAGACTGACATCAGTGTTGGCATTTTTTCGGGCTAACATGCTAGAAGCGTTCTCTATTTTTCTGTATTTTAATTGAAGGAGAACTGGGGAATGTACTAGTCACTGAAACTACAGGAAGAACACCAGCCTTTAAAAAAAGTTGTGCATAATAATGCTCCAGAGATGGATAATAGTAAGATGCTACAATAAATGGAATCATCTGGTACATTCCAAGAAGATGGAATGAATTATCTGTGTTGGATGACCAGGGCCACTCTGCAACTGTATTTCTTTGCTTCAGAAAATACTGATGGAAAATCAAAATGGTTCTCATGGATTCTTTGTCTTACTTAAAGATTTCTGAAATTCTAGTTAGTGCTTCATCTGAGCATGGGGGAAACCCCAAACTTTCTGGAATTATGTATTGTCCGTTAAGATATTTAATTTCTGCCTGGATGTTACTTTTATTAGTTTCCGAAATTTGATTAAAAACATTATGTAATAGGTGAAAATTATCTGTAAATATTTTCCCCCAATATTCACTTGGTGTTTAAATTTGATTCTATGACCTTAGACCCTACAATATTTGCTGTTAATGTGGTATTAAAATCTGACACTCAGCAATGTTCATGTCTTTCCATAAGGGAATCCCAGTTTTTAGTGTTTTCAAACTCAAAGCAATGATCCTCTTTGAGCTGATTTGTATGCAAGGAAATTAGATGATACAAATTAAAATGCAAAAACAATCTTCTAAAAAGAAGGTTAAATCATGAGTGTTTCATTCTGTGGTTTATCAGCATCACAGATTTTATTAGTTTTCACAGGTTCCCTTCCATAATTTAGATAGCAGATCATACTGTTAATATAGTGATGGGGTAAAATTAGGACACTTCTAAAAATGACCAGCGTGATGACTGCACAGGATTAGACAGGAATTGAACCAGAAAAGTTGCCTAGGGAATTTTGTGCAGGACAGTGATACTTGAAAACTTCTTCAGTATACTAAATAACACAAATTACTATTTCAACTTTTACCCAAGCAAACCCAGTTGTAATAACCTTAATTTGAACATTCACAGAAAACACATGAGTCTTCACAATACAGAAATAGTTTGAGTGGTGTTGTCAGTTGGAGGAAGTGAATTTACGTGAGAGTATGAAAAACAGTCTTTCCAGTTGAAACTGTGTGCTGTGTGGGCTCCAGAAATAACTTGTGTAATACAAGATAGAGGTCAATATTTTATTTAATAATGTTTTTGAGCAAGTTCTTCACTGTTCAGCATCAACACTTAAAAAGAAATTTGAATAATACATTGAATAGCTGCAAGCAGAATTGTACTTGAATTGCTGTGTAACTCTCTTCTCTTCATAGAATCTGACTGAGAAGCTGCTGAAGAAAGAACAGGACTACACCCAGCTAGAAGAAAAACACAATGAAGTATCTGTGAGTAAGAAGAATGTGCAGGCAAGTTTTCACCAGAAGGACCTGGACTGCCAACAGCTTCAGGCAAAGCTGTCTGCATCTGAAGCCTCGGTACAGAGATTACAGACAGAGCTAGGTGAGAAGGGGGAAGCAAGCCAAAAACTTAAAGAAGAGTTGTCCGAAGTAGAGACAAAGTATCAGCATCTCAAGGCGGAATGTAAACAGCTCCAGCAGCAGAGGGAGGAAAAAGAGCAGCATGGCCTGCAACTCCAAAGTGAGCTCAGTCAGGTAATGTTCCCTAAACCTCCTAGACCATCCTATTTGAATGATTCCTTAAACCATCCCATCAGGGTTTTTTAAACTACATGCGTATTTCTTAAGCACACACATTTGCATTTCCTTATTTTAAGGAGAGCAATTAACCAGTACTTGTATTTGAATAAATATAAAGCGAGCTGGTACATTAATAAATATAAAATATTCTTTCTAACACTGCAGAAAATGATATACAATTACCTCTTCCGTTTAGAGAAGTAAAGAAAAGAACAGGCAAAAAGAAGAGGCTGTGATAAGAGTCCAGAAATTCTTTGGTATTTGTTTGATATTGTGTCTGAATCTTTTTAGGAGTTCGAGATTCTTGTCAGGGGCAAATGAGGATAGTTGTAGTGCCTGTGTCACAATCGAATTCGTCAAGATCCACAGTTATAATCACCTTTCAGCATTTTTTTGTCTGGGAAGGCTAATGTCATTTCTGTCTGTCTGTAGTATAATTCCCCAGAAAGGGAAATATCTTACTAATTCTGTTCTATCTGGAACTCTTCTTAAAACTATATGATTTTGGTTTTAAAGATTTTAGGGGTGAATGAGCATAAACTTTGTAGCTTATTCCTCATGTTTTGATATGACTTTTTTTTTTTGTACATTAATAAAAAAAGGCTCTTCTGAGACAGGGTTTTTTGTTCACTCTTCTTGTCTTAGAGTGTTAAATGAACTCTTCTTTCATACCACAGCTTTTCCCCTCTTCTTTTTCAGTTGATGCATTCCCTGAAATAAATGAAGTATTGTCAAATGAGAGAGCAGGCAATCCAGGATATTGAGTTTGCATGACAAATGTGATAACAGACAAATTCTAAGAAGGCAGCAAGGTTAATTATTCTGATTGAGAAGGGTAGCTGAAGCAATAATGAATTAAGGTTATGAGAAAATTAAATTCAGGTACAGTAACAGTTTCACTTCTAGTAGTAATTTACTACTCTATAGGAAGTTTGAGAAGAGTGAGTCTTTGTTTTACTAGACTGTTTTATTAGAACTGAACAGTGCTTGATTTGCTTTAAGACTGAGTAGTGACTATAGTAGGGAGTGCTAAGTGTGAAAAGCTGGGATAAAGTGAAGTCTTGAGACTGCTTCCTTAGTGTGTCTCCACAAACCACTTCTCTTTATGTTGCTGATAGCTGTGAGAGAACTCAGAGCATACATTCCACAACCAGAACCTATTGTTCTGCTGGGTCCAATGACTTACAGAAGCAACACTTTGATATATCATTTGACATAGAGAAATTTGGGCCAATTGAACTCAGTTTAATCTAGTTTATCTTTTTTGGGGACTGATGTGTTAAACTGGAGAAATCCTGTCCAGTCCTGAGATGTAAAAAGTAATATCTTTTTTTTTTAGTATGACATACTTCATTTTAATCTCCCTAAAGCTTATTTATTTTAAAGAGAGTGTTTCTTAATTTTCAGCCCTTTGTCAAGTTGAAATATATTAAGTTGCAAGCTCTGTATGTATAGTTTATCTTGGAAGAACTGTGACTTAGCAAAACTTTATGTATGTATGACATCCCCAGAATGACTATTCTTCTCCCATCAGGCTTCTGTCAGGGCGAGGGGAGATAATTATATTAGTTATCTGTTAGGAATGTGGACTTGGTAAAACTGGCTCAGTCTGCCTAGGCAACATGTATGAAACTTAAGAAAAATAGCCAAGACTTTGAGCTTCAATCTGGCTTCAGCCTGAGAGGGCGTTTTCAGGAAGGATTTTTGGGATGGCAAAATCAAGGAGGAGGAAATTGAGTAAACCATTGCTGAATGAATTCCTATGAAAGGACATGGAGGCATGACACATTCTCTGGTGATACTATTGGGAAGGAAGACAGTCTTAAGCAAGAACAGGCTGCTGGACCTTAGGATATGTTTTAGAATTGTATAGTAAAAGAATAGTGGAGGACAAAAAGCCCTTTGTACATGGCATAAAACAAAAGCCAAGCAGAAACATCTCTTCCTCTCTCTTCCTCCAAAGAGGAGTTCAATTACTATTGTAATGAAAAGACTAAATTTCTCATTTTTATTCACTTAGTACTTCAGTGGAATTATCTTTTTACGCATGTAGTCCAGTAGTTTACATTGACACAGTGAATTCTGCTTATGAAGGTATATATATAGAGTTGTTTAGTCAAACCACATTTTCAAAGAATCCTTGTCATCTTTTCAAAATTTATTTGCACAGGTGCATGTCTGGTTAAGTTTGTATATTTTAGAATCTGGGTGACAGGGAGGAAGTGATCTTCACAATGGAAGGAAACTTCAGTGATAGTGTTGGTTCCAGCACAATAATAGGAAGAGGGTAACACAACAAAGTATGGACTCCTTCAGTCTTGAAGAAATGTTAATTTTTAATAAATACTGTTGTTGCTGAGAAAATTTGAATCTACTTGATTGTATCTTTTAAAGTCTAAGTATTTTGTTCATGATTTTTTTTTTGCATTCTGTAGCATACGTTAATCCTCAATTTTACGATTTTGTTTACTTAAACTCCATCTTAAAGTTCTTGAAAAATACTTAACGATGCCTGTAATAAAAGTAACTTTTGTAAAATATTGTTTACTGATTTCCCCCTTTCCAAATATTTTCTCCTGGTATTAACATAGCCATGAATAGTTACAGTAGTTATCTTGTTTCACCCTTTGTTCAATAGATTTTTTTTTTTTACCTCCAGCTCTTGTTTGTATTTGTAGTGAGGAGAAAGTATTTATAATTTAGTGATTCTTGCAAAAAAAGACAAATGTTCTTGATTACTGGAGGAGAGATTATGGTCCCTTTTCTTACCTTGTCCTTCTTCTTCTCCTACATCTTTCTTTACTGTGCAGTCACAGTTAGCAATCAGCATCTTGCCCACGAGCCAAACAGCTTTTCACTCACAGTTTTTGTGGTTGTGGGCAGCTAAATAATTTAGCTAATTTTCTAAGAGAGTAAGTTATGGACACATTTATTTACCTATCTCCATACCCTTTAACTTTTGCAGTGTTTGATAACTTGAGCCAAATTTTGACAGATGACCTAAAGGACTTCAGTGTTAGGTCCTTCAGTGTTAAGTTCTTGTGGAAACAGGCAGCGGGAGAGAGACTTACATTCATGCCTCACCCCCCTTAATGTGGGTGGCAGATACAATGATACCACAACCACTGTTCCTTTTTCTGCTCTCCTGGGCAGTCAGCTGGTCAGAAAGTGGTTGCTTGCAGTGATCAGTAAAATTGGGCTGCCTTTTGCTTAGATATTAGTAGGGATTTGAGGAAAGCATGAGTAAGGTGCAGGGATATTGAAGGGAGGACCTGGAGAAGGTAACTGGTTTGAGGGGCTTGGACCTAAATTCATAGGGGAAGCAAGCTTCATTCATACTGATGCTTGTGGAAAATTCTTGCTGTGCCTGATCCATTCTCTGGTTTTGCATTGAGTTAAAAGGTCATTTGTGTGTCCATGAATGCGTTTGTGTAGAAATAGGCAGGAGGTAACTGAGGACCTATAGTGGCAGTTTCAAGTAGAATAAGCTGATTTTATGAAGAGAGCTTTTTAGAACAGCTGAACTGTAAAAGGCCACCCTTGCACTTTGAAGATGGTGCAATACTGCTTTCTGATGACTGAAAAAATCACAAGGCAGGCTTATGTGCAGCTGGAAGAGCACATCCCTCTACTTAACTCTTTGCTGCTGGAAGTTACTGGACTATAAGCCACCAGTTACTGTGTAGCCTACAATGAGGTTTTGTGTATCTCTGCTCTGCAGAGAATGAATGCCATTGATGTAGCCAAGTCAAGCTAAAAATCACACTCTTACTATTCTAGCAGAACAGTATATTGTGGGAGGCAGTAGAGCAGGTAAAGGCAAGGTGCTTCAGCCAGTGGATCTACAAGAAGAAGTGTGTGAGCTGGATAAGCTGAGATGGCTCTAAACATCACTATTTTACATGACAGTCCTTATGCCTTTGAAGGATGGCCCTCTTTGTGTTTCTGTTAAATCTCTGTAACTCCTTTTGAAGGGCTTCTGTAGATAAATAAGGATGTTTTGGGGTCCTTCCAACCCTCTTGAGTATTTGTTCATGCTTGTGCAGCTGATGCTCTTTCTTAACGTGATTTGTGTTTCTGAGGTGTATGAAGTTCATACATGACTTCAAGAACTCTTTTTTTACTCTGGGTTATGAAAACTTCAGTAAACATGGTACAAAATGAGTCTAAAATACATCGCTGTTGGCTAAAGAATGATTGAAAAAGTGGATGACTATTTTTTGCAGTTGCACAGTAAACTTCTGGAAACAGAGCGCCAGTTGGGGGAAGCTCATGGACGGCTGAAGGAGCAGAGGCAGCTGTCCAGTGAGAAACTGATGGATAAGGAGCAGCAGGTGGCTGATCTACAGTTAAAACTTTCTCGTGCTGAAGAGCAGGTAGGGGTTTTTATGCAGATTCTATAGTTTGTTCTGGTAGTATATCTGTACACACAGTTGTGGTGATGTTGCAGTTTATAAAGTTTGTCCATGTGGGAGTTTCATTTGACTAATACTGTCAAAGCCTTGTGGTAAAATTATCAAAATCTGCTTAAATGCTGCTTGTCTTTACGGATTTTTGTAAGGTTAAATGCTCATCAGATGCATATGTGTTCATGGTGCTTAACAAAAGAACAAAAGTTGTGCATTTTGCGCTCTTGAACCTAAGCCCATATGGGTAGTGCTGTGTGTACATGTTTTTGTGTCATAAAGCCCTACATGAAGAAAAACTGAACATGGCACTGCAGGTCACTGATAGTTAATAATCTGTGTGGAGTGGATGGGGAGAAAATACTTGATTTATTAATTTTAATTTGTTTTAATGAGTGTCTTGTATATATTGCTGATTTTCTGCTGGCTGTATGGGGATTGGCCAAATACCTGAATGGTATGTTTTCAAAGCTTTAAAGCTTTTCTGTAGCTAATTTGCAAAGTCTTGACTAGTTTAGAAGTCGAGAGACTGCTAAACTGAAGTTGCTACTAAAACTGTCAATAATAGTAATAATAATGTTGTCTTACAGGTATCTATACTGCCAGTCATGTTACATCTTAACAACTATTGGAAAAAGCATACTAAAAATTTTTTATGTTTTAGATTTTTTGGGAGCTAAATTACATCTGATAGTTGTTTTATAGTTCTTGCTTGTGATATAGAATCTCACCTATTAATATTTGATTAGATTTTGATTGTTTAACTAGCATTACAGATTATTTTTATACAAATTTTCAAATATCCATGTTTACACTAAAATCTTCTAGAATCTTCAAGAATTTGAGAATGAACATTGAGTAATATTGGCATAGTGAACGGTGCTTTTTCCACTCATTAGTTTGGTTTGTTTGGTATTTGATTTTGGGTTTTCTTCAGCTAAAGGAAAAAGCAGCAAATTCCACAGAATTGCAACATCAATTAGATAAGGCAAAACAACAGCACCAGGAACAGCAGACGGTTCAGCAAAATACAACAGCAAAACTACGAGAAGCCCAGGTAACATAATTATGTACCCTCATATGAAAGTGTATTTCAGGATTTCATTATTCTAAGTACATTTTCTCTGTAAAAATGATTTGCATGAATTATGTTAGTTTCAATAATTTAACTTACAAGTCTAGAACATAACATACAGAAAGTGTATAATAAATGTATCCATTTTAGGCATTAGAACTAATCTTTAAGGTCCTTATAATTAAGGAGGTTATTATGCGATTTTCTAGAATGATCTGGAGCAAGTACTACGACAAATTGGAGATAAGGACCAAAAAATTCAAAACCTTGAGGCTTTGCTTCAAAAAAGCAAGGAAAACATCTCTCTGCTAGAAAAGGAAAGAGAGGACTTATATGCAAAAATTCAAGCTGGTGAAGGAGAAACTGCTGTTCTTAACCAGCTACAAGAGAAAAACCATGCATTGCAAATACAGGTAAGAACTTCAAGATGTGTTTCTTTTCTTTCATTCTGATTATTGAGTCTTGTTGCCTTTGTTTTTCCTATGTCATCACATATGTCACTAATCTTTTCTATACTGTTCTGTTTCTTTAATACTTACTTAAAAGATCTTACTGTGAATTTCACAGGACTTGTGTTTTGGTGACTTCTTACTGTCAGCATAGGGAAAGGAATTCCTAGACATTTACTGTGTACATATGCTAGTAATATACTATGCATATACAGAAGTTATTGGAGATAGACAGATATATACATAAATATTTGTTTCACTTATTTTAAAAAGAGGTTTAATTCCTGCGTTCAACACCAAAATTCAGTTTAGCCTGCATCTGTTGTCTCCTTAGTGTCTTGTTTTTGTTACAGTAAGGCCAAATTGGCAATTCCCTTTTGCTTCTATTTTCATCTTGTAACCTATTTAAACTCTAATAAAGCTTTACTGTAATAGTTCAAGAAAAGAAATGTGATAGCATTGAGTCTCCAGAGCCATAATAAGGCACACCAAAATTAATTTTTTACTTCTTTGGACATACTGTTCCAGCCTTCTCACATTGTTTTTCACTGCAGGTAACTCAGCTGACAGAGAAGCTGAAGAATCAGTCGGAAAGTCATAAACAAGCCCAAGAGAATTTGCACGAACAAGTGCAGGAACAAAAGGCACATTTAAGAGCTGCTCAAGATCGTGTGCTTTCCCTAGAAACAAACATCACTGAACTAACCAGTCAGCTAAATGAAAGTAAAGAGAAAGTGTCACAACTCGATGTGCAGGTAATGGAACTCTCTGTTTTCTGATGATGTAAAATCTGTACTCTCTCCAGAGAATGAACAAAGCCATTTGGGAAAAATTGCATTTTTCTACTAAGAGACAAATGAAGTAGAATAAGGCAGATAAAACTGAAGGAAAATGAAAGTAGAATCATAAAATTTCATAATTGAGTTGGGGAAAATCTTACCTCAAGCATTGCTCATATTTGTAATGTTTGGCTGTTCAAACCCCTGTTCTTACCAGTCCTGAATTCTGTGCACCAAAGTGAAAAATCTCTCAAGTCACTGAGATCTTGGGATTGCCTAAAATTTCCTATGCTGATGTCTTGTCAAAAACAAAACAAAAATTGTGGGCCACCTTGTTGCCAATTTAATTTACTACATAAGGCAACTCCCCACTATGGACTCAAAATCGACTCTCCTATTACTAAGTGCTGCTTAAGCTGCAAGCTGCTAATTATGTTCAGCTATTTAAAGGATAAATAAGATTTGATCAGAAGTTCTTGCATCAGTGCACCTGAAGTAGGTACTGTTGTTGCTGGATTGATACACTAAGGTGTTAGTTTCTGAACAGGCCTAGGAACTTCTGATGAAGCTCTCTGATGTTTTAATGGGCTTCATTACACTGTCTGAATTGTTTTTTCATCACGTTCACATTAGAGCTAGAACTGAATTATCTATGGACAGTTGCAACTCTTTTTAAGCCAATGTGAGCTTTCTTACAGTCTTCAGAGAAGTAGCATTTATATTAGGGAGAAAACCAGTAAACCACAATTGCAGGTGACCCTGAATATTGCCACACTGCACTAACACCATTGAAACACACCTTCTAAATTTTGTTTGCTGGTGTTTTGAAAAGAAGAAAGGTTACTCCCTAACAGGCAGGCAGGAACAGAGAAAGATACTATACACAGGGAAGCACATTTTAGTGGTTATTTATTCTTTTTCCTTTTAAAAGTTCTGGGGGCCCTTAAATGTGCTTGTAGTTGGAGGTTATCAAGGTCTGCATGGGTGTGAATACAGTAAGTAAATCCCATTGTTCCTTGTTAGTGGTAAAAATATTTTCCTAGAATAGGACATGAGTGGAACTGCTGTATTTTGTTTTGTTGCTTTTTTTCTTTGTCTGTTTTTTTTGGCTCAAAGTAAGAACTCACCGTGACTTAAAATCCTGATACTTATCTAAATTTCTAAAATCTTTCTTCCTTTTTTTAACACTTAAAACATGGAAACTGATGATTTTATTATTAAACTTACTGATGACTATAAAAAGATTAAAATGAGCTATGGTAAAAAGGATGTTTTAGTGAAATACAATTTATCTTTCAGGTAAAAGCAAAGACGGAATTGCTACTTTCAGCAGAAGCATCAAAAGCTGCTCAAAGAGCGGATCTTCAGAACCATCTGGACACAGCTCAGCATGCACTGCAAGATAAGCAACAGGTTACAAGCAACATATAATGTTTCTGTGTTACCTGAAAAACTGCTTAGAAACTTGAGAATAGTCTGTTTACAAGCTAAATAAACATGTGAATATGCATTTGGAAATAATCATTTAGGATATTTTAACCACGTGCTATACATTCAGTTCTGTTTGCTGTAATCCAGACCACATATATTTTGCAGTGCAAAGAATTTACTTGGGAGTCTACTCCTTGATATAGTATTATGGTTCAGAACCTAAGCTGTCCTTAGGTATTATTGAGGTATTACTGAATTCTCACTTATATGATATGAAGATTTTAGAATGCACTGAGTGTAACTGAAAACTTTTAACTCCTACTGCTGACTCAGATAAATTCCCAATCAGATGCTGGTATTCAGAAATCATAGAATCAGATGGGTTGGAAAGGACCTCTGAGATCATCAAGTCCAATCCTATATAAATAATTATCTGTGTGCCAACTGACACAAAAACTCAAAAGGCTATTATTAAAATTACATGTTTTAATGTGTGTTAATCCTAGTGAAGTATTCCACCAGCTGTTGAATCAAATATTTGCATTGTTAGAATCAGTGTTGCTGTGATCTTCATGGAAACATCCAGCAGATGCTGATATAGCACCATTTTTTAGCATGGCAATGTAATTAATTGATATAAACAGAAGAAAACCTTTGGAAGCCATTAAATAATTAATTAATAAATAAATATATCAGCTTGGTTGGAGAGCATGTAGCTGTCATCATAGTGCTTACTAGGTGAATATGTCCATGTCTCTTGCAGAAATTATTTGTTTTGTGTTGAACAGAATGTTTTGAAATCACCTCTGCTATGTGGAGAACTGACCATTTCCATGTTATTGGCTTTCCTCTTCTGTGGTACTTGATTTCATGACAAAGACAGCAAAAATTTTATCTAAGGTTTTGTAATGTTATTCTCTAGTTACTGTTGTACTAACTTTAGGATCTAGTGCCTTTATTGCCTACAGTTCCTCTTCCATTTACAATTTGAAACACCTTTATTAACATTTAGCCCGCAGCCTGTAAAGTTTGAGAGGAATATTGAAGATTTAAAAGAATTTTTTTGCAATGCAATGAAGGGAATTTATGCATGTGTTTGTTTCCTCTCTCAATTTCCTGCCCTCAGAATAAAAAAGATTATTTTCCTTTTTAATTTGAACATACTAGATCATTTAAAGCATATATGATGTTAGTAATATTTAGAAGTTATTTCAAAACTTACAACCCTTGTATTTTTATTTTACTCAGGAGTTAAATAAGGTCAGCGTTCAGTTGGATCAGGTTACAGCTAAGCTGAATGACAAACAGGAATACTGTACTCAGCTGGAAGCCAATCTTAAAGACTACAAAGAAAAACACCTTTATTTAGAACAGAAAACTGAAGAGCTAGAGGGACAGCTTAAGGTTTGTATTGAACACAGTATCTGAGCTTAGAGAAACTGATCTCTGCTGTTTGGTAGCATGTGATAAAAACTGTGTTCAAATTATGGGGAAGGATTATATATCAAAATTTTAGGTTTTCTTGCTTGCTAGTGTTTCCTGATTCACCATTTAATCCTGTTCTCCTCTTCCATGCTAGCATATCACACTAAGAAGATAGGCCTAGGACATTACCATTATACTGTCATTTTCTTCTATATGTACTTCTATCAGCCTCTGTGCTACCAGGAAATTTTTGTGTGAGGGAACATGAATATGTCCCAGAATTAGCGTCTTCAAGTTCAAACTAACACACTTCACAGCTCGTAACAGGGAATATGTGTCCTGCTGGTTAGCCCAACTTAACACTACCTGTCTGGTTTAATTTTTTTCCAAAGCCTTTCATTAGTCTTCTCCAGAGGCTCTTTAGCAAGATAAATTTATCACTATTTTATCTCTTAACATGATCTGGAGTTTTGCACTCTAGCTCTAAAATCAGTTTTTATTTTGCAGAACCTTTTGGTGTTTTGATATACTAGTATTTTCAGTTAAGGATATGGATTAGTCCTAATGCTTGAGAGCTTTAAAATGTGGGCTTTGACCTTTGTTCAATATTTGTTAAAAATTCCTTGTAGTCAAAATTCACAACACATAAGAGCATATGATACAGGGATCTTGGGAGCAATGTAGAACTGATTTTGAAGTGTTGTCTGTCTGTTCTGAGGGAGATTAGTAGTCTTTATGCTCAAAACCGAGCATAAAAGCACATGGGTGTTTTTCCTAACTTATGAGCTCTGTAGGAGAGAACGAAGATTGTTTTCCGCATGGGAAATTTCAAATCCAGTGCTATTAAAAAAAAAAGCTGTCATGCATTTCATTATCAGCAAAATTATTTTGTGCATCCCTCTCTCCTTTTGAATACTTGGAGTTTTTTCTGCCTACTTTCATTTGTGTTTTTCATTCTCTTGCTAAAGTTTCACATGTAGCCAAGAGACACAAATGCTTGGAAGGAATATAGAGCTTGCTGGCATATGATTTTATTAAGTTCCTGGTAGCTCAAGTGTGAAACTGAACGGGGTTGTTGATGCTGTCAACAGGAATGCATTCTATGTAAATTCTTGGCATCATCACCATTCTTTGAGATTATTCCAGTTGAATGCATGGCATTTAAAAAAGGAGAAAAAATTTAGAAAGCAAAAAGCCCTCAGGAATTTTCTTGGAGAAACTTGGCCATTTTATTTTATGGCCACTGTGTTCAAGCAGAAGTGACTGTAAAACAGCCAGTGTGTTGAAGAGTCTAAGCAATGCCCATTTGCTGAAGGCTCCTGTGTTACTTATACTCCACGCAGGTGACCAAGAACCTTTGGGAAAAAAAAAACACAAGAAAAACCTCTTCTGGGTGAGCGTAGGGTTTCTTCACAGCTGTAGTTTGTGTCTTTGTTTTCGGTATGAAGAGCAGCAGAGTCATGATACGTAAATCAGCAGTCATCTGAAACTGCTGAAACTACTCAGAAGTGGCTGAGATCATGGCCCCAGAGCTGAGCACTGGGTATGGCCTTTTTTTGTGTAGGTATTTTGGATAGACTCTTTAAAGATTACAGTTTTTTATCTATTGCTTTGTGGAAAAATGCTTGTTTGACGTTTAATTTAAACATGATTTCAGAATGTTTTACTAAAATAGTTCAGTTCTGGAGGAGCAAGAGATTTTCAGGAACTAAATAATGGAAGATAAATAGCAAAGTAATGAAACAGGTAGATGATACGTGAGAATTGTGACTGCTTTCTAAAGTAAAGACGTTTTTACAGTAAATGCTGCTCATAGAATAGATGACTTGTGCATTTAATTGCTATTTTTATTTTGTTGGTTGTATTCTGATGGCTCTAACTTTTAATTTTTTTTTCCTCAGAAACTTGAAACTGACATTCTTGATGCTAAAGCAAGTAAAGAACAAGCTCTTCAGGAGTTACAGCAACAGCGACAGCAATCCACGGAATTAGACCTCCGAACAGCAGAACTGAGTAAACAACTTGAATCGGCAAGAGAAGCGTATGCATTTCCTTGTTCTCATCCTTTTCAAAGTCAAACATAAAACTGGAGTGGTTTGGACTAGAGTTGAAATTTTCTACTTCTCTCCTGTGATTTCATGAAGTCGTAGATAAGTGCTGTTCTGCTACAAGAACTGAGTTTTACCCCACCTGTTTTCTTTCACTCCATCTGCCCTATTACCTCTGTGATTCAGTACAGTTCTTCAGTTTATTCACTGTGCTTGTTGTCAGCTAAATGTCTGAACAGTTTCATGTAGTGAGGTCCATCTTTAGATATTCATAGCTCTGTAACATTTTTCAAGTACAAATTTGCAATTTCTGCATAAGCAGCAAAGGGCTAGTTTCTGTTCATTATAGCTGGGAAGAAAGATTCATCAAAAGCTAGTTTTTAGAGTTGCTGTCATGTCTTCACTAGAGAGACATAATGCCTATGGATGAAAAAGGTTGTACAGCTAATATATTAAGTAATAGAGATATTTAATGATACAAAAAAATCCATGAAGAAGAAATTTTAAAAATATGTTTTTTCTCTTTCTATTTGCAGGATGTCTAATGCTAAATTGGATTTGCAGAAGAAATCTGAGGCCCTTGACCAAGCAAACCAGCAAATTTCAAAGCAGGAGGAGGAGAAGGCCAGTCTCAAAGAAAACCTTGAGAAATCAAATCAAGATACAAGTAAACAGCTTAAGGAGTTAGACTGTAAACTGCAAGCGGCCACATCAGAGCTGCAACAAGTGAAATTAGAGAAGGATACTCTGTTAAAGGACCTTACAGATACCAAAGATAAGCTCTCAAATAGCTCTGAATCCTTCAAGAAAAAAAAGGAGGAATTAGAAAAAGAAATTAAAAAAGGAAAAGTAGCTATGGCAGAAATGGTTAGTAGATTCTTTAATTAGGCATTAATTTTGATGTATTTATAGTCTGATAAAATGATTTTGCTTTCTATCTGAAAACAGTGTAGATATGATGACAATGCATGGAAATTACTGTAAGAAAAAACAAATTGTGGTTTTTAGTAGTTCGTATGCATTTCCTGCCTTACATTTTTGTCTGGACGTTTACAGTAGTAAACATCAGTCATAGCACATAACGGGATCCTTTTTTCCTACTACATGCCTTTAACATAGTGAAGAAACTAAATGGAGGCAAGTGGTGAAACAATTTGATGGGAAATGTCCTCCTTTTAAAAAATGTATCAGCCATATTATAACAACACAAAGTTATAGAACCTTTGCTAAAATATCGTTGTATTGAAGAAGATGTTATTTTTCTGAGGCCGTTTTAGTGTCCTTTCTGAAGTCTTTGTATATAGAACTTCCTGTGCACTTGTCTGGACGTGCTGGAAAGCTGCATACTGCAGGCAGAGAGAGAGTAACATCATCTGAATGCCTAGATTAAGGTATTTGTAGAGTACTAGAACTATTTGAGTTTCAGAAAGCTCTCACAAGTGGTGGTACAACAGGTGCTTGACCACTAGGGCAACCTTTTATGATAAAGAAAGTGAACTCTCACTAGCTTTAAAATATACCTCTTTTGCCTTGTTGGTAATATGAATGGGCACTACATGAATACATGTTTTATAGATGCAGTTGTTCCAACACCCTTGCCTCAAACATGGTAAGGGTGTCTCTCTCATACCCTTCTCATCTTAAATGTGACCATTTCCCAGAACCTGTTCAGAGCTACTTTTATTCTTATCTAAAAAAAAAATCTGCTCCTAGTTAAAAATAACATTTTTTTTTTACTCATTCACCTTTTAAAGATAAGCTCTTTTGTTTGCTTTTCTTAGTTACTGCTGTTTAAATATTTGTTTCTCCTAAGAACTCAAAGAGTTTTCTCCCCAGCTGAGACTTAAAGTTAGGAGTCCAGATTCTGCTTCTAATTCTGTAGTCCCTTAAAGTCTTGCCACTGTTTTATATGTGTAGTATTTGGGCTTAACATGTAGTTGTATTTGCATACAAGTTTTGGAAATGTACTTTCTTGTGAGTTTTGGAACATGAAGGAATTTTGGATCCTGAGGAGAGTGATGACCCTACTGCTTTCCATAAGTAGGAGAAGGGCTGCCAACCACAACTTCAAACAGGGAGACTATCCCTAATCAGAAAAACTTTTTGGCACATGGCTGGGTTTGGTCGTATAGGGGATCAGCTGTTTTCAGCTTAGATTTGCCACTTAAGGTTTTGAGAAATTTTTAATTGATAATATGTCTGCAGCTGAGAAGGAAAGATTTTCCACTGAAAATGAAAGCATTATTTTTCAAGGCTCTGTAGATCTTGCAAAAATACTTGGTAGTTGGTCTTAGAAGCTAACAGGAATATTTTCTTGTCTTATATTTTTTAGGAAAAATCTTGCCAAGAATTAAAACACCAGCTCCAGATACAAACAGAGTCTGTAGCTAAAGAGAGGAATGAATTGAAAAACTCACTGGAAAAAAAGGAGGGGGTAAGCTCTCCACTTAGTTTCAGAAATCTACAAACCAGTATCATAAATGTTTAAAAGATGCATTTTCAGTTTCACATGCTGGGATTGATGAGAACTAAAGAGGCTTCAGTTCTCAAATTGTAACCTACTTGGAGTGTTGAAATAAGGTGACAGTAAAAATTTTGTAGATGGTAATATAAAGCTTTAAAATACAGGTTTTAGTCTTAGTTTTCTGTGCCCCACATACCTTAGCAGGGGATTTTAGCTCTTAAGGTTTTTTCATTAGTGAAACTGTTACTTGACACTACCATGTCCCTATTTTTTGTTTTTACTTCCATACAATAAAAGTTGTTATCTCATATCCTTAGACCTATTTTATTCTCAGGCTTATTCAGTATGTTCTCTGTGTGGTTGATAGGACATTTTCAGGTGTCCTTCAAGAATTGAATTGCTTTTTCAAACTTGTGTAAGTCACTTGCTTGTGACTTCATAAGAACCAAATGTACTTTGTTTTTGAAGATGAGCATTCAGACTGCAAAATCATGTAGTCCAGCTGGCAACCTGAAGGACAAGTCTGCTTTCATGGGTGTCTTTACCCAAGCTGTCATCTGTTCCCTAAAGGAATCAGAAAAGATCTGATCAGTGGACATAGTTTGGTGGACTGTGATGGACTCTTACTGTCTGAAAGAGGGTTTGGGTGTGTGCTGGTGTAATTGCTCAGTGACTACTGCTTCTACTCCCCTGGCTCCTCTCTGGTTCAGCAGAAGCACCATGGTGCTCTGTGTAAATGCATGAGGATGACTGGTATATGCTGCACACTTGGCAGCAGGAGAACCCAAAACACTGCTGGCGTGAGAAAAGTTTCCTCCTCTTAATTTAGAATGGTTAAAAAAGACTACTGTTGATTTATGAGTAATAAATCGGGAATAATAGATTCTTTTAATGTGTTATGGTAGTAAAACCTTCTTGCCAGTGTTCAACTGTGTATCTCTTAAACAGCCATGGCACTGTGGGATGGTCTGGTTCAGTGTACAGCATGTACAAATAGTGATTTAAATTAAAATTATATACAGTTATTTAATGTTTTTTGAATCTAGATTTCTAAGCAGTTGTCGATAGACCTTGATTCAGCACGAGCACAACTACTGGAAATCCAAGGTCTTCTGAAGGACAAAGAAAAAAGTGAGCAACATCTTCAGGGAAAGCTGAGAGAGTTTAAGGAATCTTTTGAGCAGAAGAAAAAACATAATGAGACACTTCAAGCTGAATTAAAAACTGCCCTTTTAGAAAAGGTAAGACTGTCCTCTCTTATTCCTATGAGAAAGTGATTGTAAATTCCTCTGATAAATACTGAAGTTTTTATGTCAATATCTTTGTGATAAACTGTGTTTGCGGTAGTCTTGTTGGAAATGATAAGGTCAGGATGTGGAAATGAGGTCTTCAGATGCTGTTGGAGATAGAAACAGCAACATCAACAGCAGTAATAAAAAGAACCACTGTTGAAATATGAATTCCATAGGAACTGAATTTTAATGAAGTGATAAAATTAATTAGATTGAATGTGGGTTTTTTGCTCTGGGAGCAGGCTATGAGGTGGGAACTGTCATTTTCTTGTAAAGCAGTAGAATTTTGTGAGAGTATTTTAGACAAACTCTGCAGTGTTTTAAAATGTCTGTGGCAGTTTAAACCAAGTCTTCTCTTATTATACCAGAAGAATTTATCTTGGTGACAGTATGAAACTCATGAACCACGGTGGAAGGAGTTCAAATGTCTTACCACATTAGGGAACATTGTGCTGTATGCCACACACTATTAAATGTGGCTCCAGCTTTGGCTGCCCTATGCTACATGGTCATATTTGTGCTTTAGACAACCGGTGGAAACATTAGGTCTTGCTGTTGTGGTTTGACCCCAACCATCACCTAAGCACCACAGAGCTGCTTGGTGACTCAGGAAGATAAATGTCATCACTCCAAACTCCCTCCCCTTCCTTCTTCTTTTGCCATCTTCATATGCTGACTGCGATGCCATATGGAATAGAATATCCCTTTGGTCAGTGGGATCATCTGTCCTGCTGTGTCCCCTCCCAATTCCTTGTACACCTCCAGACACCTTGCTGAGAAGCAGGAAAGGCCTTGGTTCTCTGAGAGCCCTGCTTAGGAATAGATAAAACAACCCTGTATTATCAACAGCAGCACAAATTCAAACCACAGTGTCATACTAGCTGCTATGAAGAAAATTAACTCTACCTCAGCCAAAACCAGCACACTTGGAACATTATTCCAGTTTTTAATGTTAGGTCTTAATGTGTTTCACTTAAGCTTTTGTCACAAATTAAATTTTGTTGTTAAATTAGTTAGGAGATATTACTGTAGAATCACAAATATCAGATTACCAAAGTGCTATTTCATAAGAGGAAAAAAATTCTCATCTTGCAGTAGAAACGCAGTTTATTGAAATGTTTAAGCTGACTTTACTGTCTGTAACTTTAACTAAAACTTCCTATGCTTATGTTTCAGGCAGAACTGGAGAATAAACTGCAACAGCAGTCTATTTTGTCAGCACAGGAGCTTAAAGCAGAGAAAGGCAAGCTAGCAGACTTACAGAAGGCCCATGATAAACATAAAGAAAACATGGAGAAGCTGCAGTTGGATCTTTATGGGAAAGAGTCTGAGCTGCTGGCTACCAGACAAGACCTTAAGGTACTTGCAGTCATTTTAATGTCATATGTGACTTAGTAAATGTTTGTATCCATTCTGAAGATCAAGAAACTATGCAGGAATTGAATAGATGAAAAAAATCTCTTCTGCTATATATAGATTTTAGTGCTGTTCATCCCCTTCCCCTGGGACAGAGAATATCCTGAAACTAACTGAAAGCCAAGTGTATTTGCTAGTTTACCTGAAATATCCTTCCATTTGTGCAAGGTGATTTAGTTTTATGTACCTTTAGGAATTATTTTTCATATTGCTTTTTCTTGTTATATATTATTGCTTTCAACTCATTTAAACAGTGTAGCTAATTAGAGCAAGGTCTGCCATCATGTGAATAACTGCTATCTTCTAGGTGATTTAACTAGAATAGTCCTGGCTGATTACAGATGTTGAGAGATGTCAAACTAATACAAACAGTAGTTTAGAGACCTGCCTGGAAATACAAGTGTCTCAACTTAGTCCTTGAAGTTTTGCTGTTCCTAAACTGAAGTTACCTCGTTTTGTATTAGTGTGCAATGCCTTCCAAGAGGTATTGCTGAGAGTTGAGCCAGTCAGCAAAGGTGTTTTTTGACTATTTTTTCTGGCCCTCTCCTTCATGTCAGTATTAAGCCAATGCTCCAGTTAGTCCCAGGACGTACTGTGCTGCAGAGACTGGCTGTCTGCTGGCAAGATTCATAGCTTTGGCACTTTTCACTCCAGATGAATCCCACTGCAGCTTTGTCCATGAACAACACTGTTGTTCTAGGCTCTTCTGAAGTTTATGGAGAGAAATAGAACGCTTTGGAAGGTCAGATCATCTGATCTGCTTTAGATGTCAGCTTCTGTTTGCTTCGTTATGTATAAAGGGAGCTTGTGGTGACTGCTTAGATTTCACTGTTGCCTGCTTTGATTTTATTGTTCCCTTTCCCCCAGAGGTGAGCCTTTCAGACCCACGACTGAAACCCTTTAAGGTCTTGTGGCTGTTTTGCCGATGTAACCTGTGGAGCCCTAGCCGAACTCCAGGCTTTACATATAGGCCACTGCAATTTTATTAGGCTTACTGTAGTAAGTCTGATAATCTTACTGTAGTATTAGGTTACCTGCCACATTTCCCTGCAGGTTATAGAAGCTTTATTTTCAGAACAGCATGGTTCAATTGCAGTGTTAAATTGTGAAGAACTTCGGCATGATTAACAAGCAGTGGTGGTTTAAACGTAGTCTTCATTTTCCTTTGTTACTATAGCACATGTATGTCTGTGAGTTAATTTCCTGCAATGCATTTAAATCAACATTTAGTAATGCGGTGACCTGTAGAAGCATTGGATGTGCTCAGTAACTTGGGGGTTTTTGCTGGGGTTTTTTTTTGGGGTGTAGTTTTCATTAAAGTATTGCAAAATAATGGTGCAAAAATAGCCCCGAATAAGTATTATTATAGCAGCTTCATAACCTCTAATTCTGGCAGGTATAAAATAGGACAATAAGCATCCCACATGCTTTTAAACCTGATGGGGATGGTAGCAAGAAAGAGAGATAATATCTTTGCGAAAAGGTAAAATAAGGTGATGGCAATGGGGAAACAAGATTTTTAAGATGAGCAGTCAGGTAACTCGATTTATTATATAAGTCTCTGTGGAGCCTAGAGATTTGGGTCCTAATTACTGAAGTGCTGTGCCAACTTGGAGGCTGTTTGCTTGATTTTAAAAGTGTTTCAAAAGCCATATATTAATGAGGATTTTTGATGTCTGATTGCCACCACTTTTTTTCCTGGAAAATGTAGAAGGAAGAGGTGGGAATTTGATCTTTAGTCATGGCTGTGCTGCCTCACTGCAATATTAAGCTAAAGAAGCAGTGATAACTTGTCTTAAAAGACCACAAAGGAAAAAGCACATTCAGGCAGCCTCAGTGTGACAGTGTTAATCTTCATTGCTGACTTAAGTCAGAAGAACTTTATGGTGGAATTTCACGGTACTATTCAAAGTGAGTTGTCTGCATGATGTTTTGTCTTCGTCAAGTTACTTCGTAAAAGTAGCTTATTGGAGCCAGAGCTGGGTATTTTGATTAAAGTTTGGAATCAAAGCTGATGGGTGGACTGGGCTTAGGTTGGTTTTAATTTTAATCTCAGTAGGCAATACTAGAAGTTTTTAAAACTTGTCTCTATGTGGAGTCAACTTGGGTGTCTTTCAGTGCAGGATTTTTAGCAGAGCTACAAACTCCCTGCACAACTGTATTGGGTCATACAGTCTGAAGCCCAGCATTGTCCACAACAGACACATCCAGGCCATATCGTGAGATCCTAGCAATGCTATGTTTTGTTTAGTTAAAAATACTGAAAAGGAAAATTTAAATATTCTCACGCGGTGTAGCACCATGCTGTTGGAGAGGCCAAGGTTGCAGGCGTGGGTATGGATTGTGAAAAGATGTACAGCATGTGTGTGACAGGAGTAGGGTGGTCTGGTTCCTAGGAGGGCATGGCAGGAGTTGAGCTGTACACAGAGCACCATCTGCTGGCATCTGTTGGGAATATCACTGCTGGGATCGGTGGCTCGTCTCCGGCTGGGAGACTGAAGCGAGATTGAAAAGGGAGCAAATGCTTCGGGGAGGTTTTGCAGTTGGAGATACAGCTTTGCATGAGAGAGAGCTGCAGAGTTGGCAGCAGCTCTCTGGAGTGCCATCAGCATGGCTGAGCCCGAGCTTCTGGCTCCACAACAGAACGTCTGAGCTACGTAGCTGTAGCCAGATGCAAACTTTGAAGCTTTAAGTCCTTCACAGGGAACAGGGGAAGTGTTGTAACAAAATCAGAATTGGGAATGTAGGTGTACATATTACGTATGTATATTTTATGGATACTATTTGCCACAGGTTTACTTTGGTTTAAAAATATACTGTCTCTAACAGTAACTACACAAATATTTTTTGTCTTTGTGACTGGACAAAGAAATTGGGTAGGATTTGAGTGCTAATAAAAGGTGTAGTTTTCAATAAAAAGGACAGGTATAATTAAAAAAGGATATCACTAAATGAATTTTTATATAGACACATATTTATGAAAATATATATGTGTATATAGACACATTAAATATTTTTTTTGAAAAATGCATTTTTTATATAGAAGCGTTAATCAAAATGTGGTAACTGTTGGTTTTGCCTTGATTTTGAGTCAGTACAAGGATACATTCTGTGAATCTGATCTCCTGAGCTTTGCCAAGTATCCTTGAGTCTTGGCATTTGTGCTTTTTGTAGTCAGACCTGGTTTCTTCCGTGTTCTCAAAAGAATGTGTCTTTGTCTCCAGTACTGGCATTGCTGTCAGCGTATATTTAGTGAATCTTCTGGAACAAAATTCATGCTGCCAAACCTTGGGTCTGTAAGTCAGGAGCCTAAGTTGCATACAGCCAAACTCTTTTTCTTAGTAAGTGAAGAGAGATCAGGTTAGCATCTGTGAATAATTTATTGTCTGTCCTTGTGAACTCAGGGAGCACACCAACTCAAATACTTATTTGTGCACTTCATATAGGTGGACTCTGGGTCCTTCCACCCCACTAGAATCAATTCTGATGTTGCCACTATGATTTGCACTGTCACAGCCCAAGTTATAGTGAATCAGACTGTGATATTTCCTTATATTTTTATTTATTTTAACTCTGTACCAGTCAACCTAGCATTTTTATTTATTTACAAAAACAAGTACTGATTGATCTCTTTTGTTCTGTATCTATTCCTTGTCTCAGCATAGGTATAGACATAATGAGATAACCTGTACAGTGTAGACACTTTGCAGGGGTGGGTTGAGAGAGAAATACCCCCTATGTGAGGCTTTTAATTTGAGCATCACTATCCACTTCATCAGATTTCATCATCTGGTGCTAGCAAATTGGATGTAACCACATTTCTTCTGCTGGAAACAAATTTGAATAAAAGCTGTGTCTTTATGATGTTTTTTTCTAAAACTGCAGAGACTGATGTGTTTTCCTGTGAAGATGTTATATGACAATGCTAGACTTCCTGTCCTTTCTCAGTGTTAGGAAAATATGGTATTCCACTGCCCACAGTGGAGGAAAGAGGGGTAATTTTGCTTTATGAAAGACCCATCCTGCTGAAATCTTGAAACTGCAAATGCACCTCCTATTTTGCTTACAAAAAATTCTGAGTCAACACCTTGCAAAATGTTAGGTAGTAAACTGTAATAGCTCAGAAAGAAAATAATTTGTCTGCAAATTAATTTTAAAAGCCAGTGTGAGCTTTTTAAGAGCCATGGGGGTTGTTGAAAGTGATGTTAAATCAGCAGTGTTCCATCATTGTTGTTTCAAGCTAAGTCTGACTGTACAGGCAAATACTTTAGATATTACAAGGGAGGGTCATGAGGCATCAGAAATTAGTTAGTTTTTAAATCAACATGGGAGTGGCTAAAGCATATGCATAATTGAATGAATTCTGAGTTGTGCTTATAGTTCCTTTTAAAATCACTAACCTTCAACACAAGCTTTGAACAAGATTTAAATAAGAGCTCTGAAAAGAATTGTGTTTGTCTTGAAAGAATTTAAATCCTTGCTACTGCACTGAAAACAATCAATTTATTACTACTAATAAATCTCCTCAGCTCACATTCTGTATCATAGTGTCGAAAATTTCCACAAAATATCAATATTTTGAGGAATGGAGGATGAGTTTGTTTGTTGGATTTTTCTTTCATTGGTTCTATGGGAAGGAAAGCTCTACTAATTGGAGCTAGTCCTTACCTAAGATAGAAGGTTTAAAAAAATAAGCTCCATAATACTAGCTCAAGAAGAATCCCAAAGCTTGACTTTGCTGAGAAGAAATAGAATGGGCTTTGGCTTTGGGTGCAAGTTTTGGGTTGTTTCTTGGGATTCTGTGACCTGTTTCAGACTTTTTCTAGGTAATGGAGAGATCTGAAGGCAAATGAAGATATAATCTGTAGATTTTGAATGGAAGTTTAAATTTCATGCTTAAAATGCTGATACAGCTGAAACTGTGAAGCCTTTTTTCCTGACATTAGTCTTTTTACCTTGTTTTATATTTCATTTCAGGATTTTCAAAAATTTTACAGTTGTCCTAACACTTTATGAAGTCATTGGTAAAAAATAGCAGCTAATTACTTTTGAAATTTTCACCCTGTAGCTTCACTTCTTCTTAAGTAACAACTGTCTAGAGTTATAGAACAGTTGATTTGCCTAGATAATGAATAAAATTTGTATGAGCAAATTCAAGATCACTCTCTTTTTATCAGTCACCTTTTGTTCTCTGCCCTTCTACATTTTTTAACCTTTTCTCTGTGGAACGGTGCAAGCTGGAATAGGTACAGTAAGGCATTGCTCCTGGAAATGATGTTGGGATAATTTCTGTTTACTTAGGGTAACCTTGTAAACTAGAAGTTTCTGTAATCATGCTTTGTCAACATTTGAAGCTAAATCTTGCACTCTAGATAACAATTTTTCCACCTGGAAAATGTTTAAGTGGCTGTTTAGTATTTGAAGCTCTTATACTGACAGATAATTTGCAGAACTCTCTTTGTAATTAGTCCACAGAAGAAAAACTTGCTCTAGCTCAAGAAGAATTAGTTTCCAGCAGAAATCGAATTGCTAGCTATAATCAGCAGATTCAGGAACTGAAGAAAGCAAAGTCTGCACTGGAGCAGGATGCATCAAAGAAGGAGCAGCAGCTGGGTGAGAAGACCAAAATGTTACAGGATCTTCAGAATGATAGGGTAAATGCCTCTGTCTCTTGAAATCTTCACACAGACACATCCATCCCATGCAGACACCCTTTACTATTTTCTATTACATCTTTGATTTGAGAGCATAACACTGTTGTACTGCATAACATCGACAGTTTTACTGAACCTCTGGTGAAAAGACTTTTAGGAGACAGTTGTAGTGAAATTGGTTCAAAGTAGGCTGCTAATTTGTTCTAAGTGGTCAGACAGGTGGGAAAATATTATTAGTTCTAAATCTAAAACTGCAAATATGCTGCTAATTGCACTACAAACTGTGGATAGATATGTGGCAGTTGTTTCCCTATAATAACAAAGCCACCAACTATGTTTTGGGCCCTGGATATTTTTTGATTGTTTGTTTGTTTTTATTTTGTGAACTTGGAAGAAGTAACTTTTCTACCATTTTTTGTTTGTCTTCAAGACTTTGAAAGAAAAAGACTTGGCTAATGAAAAATGTAAAACAACAGAGCTCCAGGAAATAAGGAGTAGACTTGAAAAAGAAATTACCAAGCTGGGTGAAGAGCTTAGAGCCTGCAAGCAAGAATTTCAGAAGGTACATTGAGACAAACTGAGTCTTCTTCATGTGTTTGGTTATCTGATGAGAAATATATGCCTACTCAGTAGATGTTATCTGGAATGGCTTTGCAAAGATGGTTGCTGTAAATATCGGTATTTCAGGTAAGGGAACCAAAGCAGAGATTTCATTGAGGTTCCTCAGCAATGATGTCTTGATTAGTGATAACCCGTGAGCACCGGTGCCCAGTGGGCCAGGTGAAGCACATAACTTGTCTTAGCTTCAGGATGGGTTTTATGTCCTGGCTTTTCTTCAGTTCCACTATAAATCCACTCTACATACCCTTGCTTGGCTATCCTGAAATGAAAAAAAAATGTCCAAAAGAGTCATGATTGTGAAGTTTTCCAGATATTCTAGGCACATCTGGTACTTGTGTACTGGATGTGTGGTAGAGTTGAAACTCCCCTAATGTGCTGTGGTTTCGTAAAATGTCTTAAAAAGTCACAGTTGGGGAAGAAATAATATCAGGAGCCTCACAAAAGACAAATTCTTCCAAAATCATAACAATCAAATGAGTTCTCTAAAGGGCAAAAGTTGGGTGGCTTTAATTAAATAATTTTTAGTCTTCAGTAAAATGAATTGTTTCTTACCACACTCTGCATATTCCATTTTTTAGTCTCTATAGAAACAAACACTCCTAAAAGGCTCTAGTTTGTGTTTTTCATAATATAGTATTAGTAGTTATATTTGCATCTGTTAAGTACACAGAGTTTAAGTTGCTGCAGAAGGATAAATGTAGGTATATTCCCTATGCACTAATAAAAAGAAAATACCATAATAACTTGTGAGTTTCAGATGTTCTTTTGTTCTCCATTGTTTAGAAAATGGTCTCTTATTTTTAGATAGTTTCTCTCAAGTGATCTGTGCTTAGGGAAAGGTATTCTAGTTCTTGTCATTCCTAAAATCTCTATTCTAAAGAAGAAATTTTATGAAGATGTATATAAGATGTGTGCACACCAATGACAGCTTAGTAATAATTTCTTAATCTCCCTACAAGCAATCAGACTGAACAGTAAATTATCTCCTAAAGACTTATATTCTGTTTCCCATCTCCTACCAAGGAATGGATGTATATGTATCTGTAGGGCATCCCCTTGTTCTGGGGATATGTTTTCTCTGGCTTTGGTTTGGTTTTAATTTGTGTTGTGAATTTTGATTTATGGAAAACTGTCCACCCTTGTTAGTCTGTTACTACCTACATGCTTGGCTGTTAATTTTAAGGAAAACAATTTCTATAAATTGAACTAACTATTCTGCTTCAGGATTTTTTGTGTTCAGTTACAGAGGAACAAGTAAAGCCATTATTTAAAACCAAGCATGTCATCCTGCTTGCTGGAAACAGAGAGTAATTTTTTTATACATTTAAGACTGACAGAAGCAACTTTCTTCCATCAGCATTTGGTTTATGGTTGTTTTTAACCATTATGATTGTTTTTAAGCATTATGATGTTTTTAACCTCATTATTGCAACCAGAGAACAACGTGAAGTAAATTACAGAACAGTCTCTAGAAAACTACAATGGATGCATCTTTTCAAAGAACTGTTGAAAACAATTCAACAGATCTTCTTCTGTACTTTAGTAGAAACATGCATTAAAATTATTTTTAAAAAAGAATGTTGATCCTAATATAGGTATAAGTTTAAAATCTTTGATCATGAAAATCACTGATACTTTGTTATATAAAATCATCCTTTCTTCCAGTGATAAAACTAAAAATTATTGCTGTCGTCTCCTAGGAAAGTTTTACAGTAGTTTTGAATTTAATTCCATTTATACTTTCAGTGTTCCTACTTTAACATTAAACTCTGTATCTTAACAGGAAGTGACAAATTTCAAGGATGCAAACCAGCTATTGATTCAACAGAAATTAGAACTTCAGGGCAAAATAGATAGTATGAATTCAACTCTGGAACAGGAGAAAAAAAACCAACAAACTGTTAAAGATCAGCTGAAAAAGAGAGAAGAGGAGCTGAAGAAAGAATGTGCTGAAATGGAAGCCAAACTGGTTAGTATGTTAGAGAATATAAGACTGTTGTTTTGTGAATATGCCTTTGGATTCTTGCAGGGACAGAAATGAAGCAATGGGTTGACTTTCGTTTCACATTACATTACTTTTTAAATGACAAGATCAAAAATCTTTAAGGCATTTATATTGGTGTAGGAAAACTCAGTGAGATGACAGCCTTGTCTAGTAGAGTTTGTTGAATAAAAGTAGTGATTCTGTTACAGTAAGATTTTTTGCCTCAATTAAATGTAGGGAATAGCAAAAGAATGCTTGGAAGCTTGTTTTTCATTTTCCTGCTGTTTTCGTAGCACACAGAGAAAAAAGACAAAGAAGAAGAAAAACGGAAACATGAGGAAAAGGAGACCAAGCTTACCATGCAGGTCACAGCCCTGAATGAAAACCTGGCTACCATGAAGAAAGAGTGGCAAAGCAGTCAGAGGCGCGTGAGCGAGCTGGAGAAACAGACGGACGATTTACGTGGGGACATTGCTGTCTTGGAAGCAACAGTGCAGAATAATCAGGATGAGAGAAGAGCATTGCTGGAGAGGTAAACTGTGGTCATGACGATGTGGCGGCGTAGTTTGAGAAATGGATAGCCTCACACTGAAAACTTGTTTCACTTGATTCAGGATTCTCTGTACATGCTTTATTTAAACCCGTGTTTGTTCTTAGTGCCTGCGCTGTGGGTGCAGTTTCCAGAGTGCAACCTTCTGTTCCTGCCAAAGCACAGCAAGGGGTCTTGGCAACAAAGACTCTTTGTGGGCATCCTGTCAAAGAGTTCTGCAGAAAACAAGGCAGGTTATTGGGATCTTACTTATCACCAAAGCCACAGCTCTGTGCTTGTGCTCAAAGATTTATGCCCATCCGTAAGAGCCTTCTAAATCCATTGGGCTCCTCTTAGTTTTTAGGTATGTAGATTGGAGCTTCTCATCTGATCTGTTGTGTGAACCTTGCAGGGCGTGGCAGAGAGAACTTCTCTTACCTAAACTGAGTATCCTTCTCCATTACTCTGAGGCTCCCATGCCTTGATTCAATTAGAACAGATGCACTAGACATCCAGAAGCCTGGAGGAGACCCCTTAATACCTTCAGTAACAGAATTTGCATAGGAACTTCTAGGTCTGCCCACTACTCAATGTTAGGAGACTGAATGTGGATTACATAGGCTAAGGTTCACAAATAAGGCATTTTCTTCCTCCTAAAAACCTACCGTCTTATTTTCTTCAGTTCTGCTCTTGTCTCTACAGTATATTTAAATCTTCAGGAAGCAGGAAGCATGAAAGGTAATGGGAGTTACCTGAATGGAATGATTACCAGGGTAGAAGAAACACTTGTGAGACAGGAAACTTTTTTCATCCTTATTTCCTGACATGTCTGATGAAGTCAGGGTGGAAAACTTTTATCGCTATTGTCAAACTTGCTGATTTGTTTTTTGAGCAGAGACCTTGGGAAAGGATGGGATCAATTCAAGTGAGATCCTCTTTCTTTGGCAATCCTTTGCTGTACTGTGCTGAACTCATCCCATAGCCATTTACAGCTTGGCAGAAAAATACCCTTTGAAATTTGGCTTTCAACAGTTAACTGAATTTCAGCTGTTGGGAGGCGGTTTCTTTTCTACTCTGTTGTCTGACCTGATCTGCAGCAGGTGGTTTGTGAGAGTGTCCTGTTGCACAAACGTATTTATTGGGACTTGCTGTTGATGGGCTGCATTCAGCATTGTCCCTGTTTTGGTTTTGGGAATAACTCCAGGTATTAATAAGATGCAGATACTTAGGAGCAATGCCAGATAATCTTAAACTGATTGTTACAACAGAACATTTTTCTAGTCAAGGCATCCAAGAAATTTTCACAGCAAGGATTTTTTTGGCTGGATTTGATGGGAGTGAATTCTCAGACATGACAACCTGCCCAAAGGAGGCAGTGTAAATAGCCTTATATGCTTTGCACTGACTACTTACTGTTTTTCCGCAGGTGTATAAAAAGTGAGGGAGAAATTGAAAAGCTTCAAACCAAACTCGTAGAAATGAAGAAAAAGCTGGACAACACAACTGCTGCAATGCAGGAACTTGGCCGAGAAAACCAGTCATTACAGGTATAATTTGATTTGTAGCTATTAAACCTTTTGATTCTCTGTTTGGGAACTTATGAGAATTTCAAATTTGTGTCAGATTGGTGGTGAGTTACCTTTCTAGAGTGAATTAAGATGTTATGTTTATAGTGTATGAGGGCCATACTGCTGTCTGTGGGTTCTTAAATCTGCTTATAGTTCTGAAAATTTGGTTTTCTTTCTGAACAAATATGAATTCTCAGTATCATGACCAAATTGGTGCTTTTACACTGCAGTGGGTAGTGCATGCTGTGGAAATAGAGGATTTTAGTGGGAATTAGACATGCCTTAAAAAAAATGCTGCTTTTTTACGTCTTCTATATAGATCAAACACACACAAGCTCTCAACAGGAAGTGGGCAGAAGACAATGAGGTACAGAATTGTATGGCCTGTGGAAAAGGCTTTTCGGTGACAGTGAGAAGGGTAGGTGTGTTTTACTTTTTGTCTGTGGGGATTTTCTATTTCTGTTGTTTTCAAACTCTTATATGGGATGCAAACTTCAGAAAAGAGTGCTGTGATGAGACATCTCAGACTACAGTTATTGTTTGCAGTACCTTAATGTATTAAAAATAAAGGCTGTGGAGCTTCTTTATTCATTATTCTTTTTCCATTTTAACAGTGTCAGTTTATAAACAATGTTAAAATATTTCAATATCCTGAGCAAGCAAGCAAAATTTCACTGTTGGAAGGGTATTTACAGACAACATATTTATAACCAGTCTGATCTAGATTTATGGGTATAAAAGGAGTGTAAATTGTTTGAAATTAGGTATGTGGGAAAATATGAGATATCACCATCATCTGGTGCTTTGTGACTATATAAACACTAACTTGACATGAAAGAGAAGAAACAAGTGAAACTGTTTTAGGTCTGTAGTTGGACCCTCTTTGTAAAAACAGTTGTGGTCAGCTAAGATGTTAGCATCCCTCAACTGGCTGAATTTGCCCTTCATCCAGAGATTACCATCCCTCCAACAAGGGACTTGGCAGTGAAGTAGACAAGGGGTACCCGTGAGGTTCATTTTGCAGAGCTTCCTGACTTGGTCTTAAGTGACTCCCCTGGCCTGCGTTAATTTGGTGATGTTTTTTGGTTAGTCTTTGAACAACATCCTTTGATTCAAGGATACTTCTCAATGTGAAAGTCAGTAGTTATGTGTAGAGAAGAACATATTTGATGTTGAAGAGGACCAATTCAAGAGGAGGATGAACCTCAACCGGTTAATTTCTGAAGCTGATACATTCTTTGACTCAATGAAGCACTTCTGAATATTTTACTCCTATACCCTTTAGAAAATATTTACTCATATGCCCTTCTGTGTGCTATGTAACTACTATTTGAAAGTTCATACTAATTTTTGAAACATGAAAGTTGACTTGCCCTGTCATTGATGTTCAGCATGTATGTTTCTTCTCTTTCACAGCATCACTGTAGACAGTGTGGAAATATCTTTTGTGCCGAGTGCTCAGCAAAGAATGCCTTAACTCCTTCTTCTAAGAAGCCTGTCCGAGTCTGTGATACTTGCTTTAATGACTTGCAAGGGTAACTGGTGATTGTGAGTGACAAAGAAAAGTTACACTAAAATTTGCTATTTCTGTTGATGCACTTCGTTCAGCACTCAGACTACTATTCAGTTTGGACAACGATTGTAACACTTGGCAAAATTTAGTATATTTTAAAATGTTTATTGATACCAAGCAAAACTATTGTATTTTTTTGTGAGACATGGGCTCAGATCATCCATAGTTTATTGCCATTTATCATGGAAAGAACTTTTATGTCTAGATTAGAAATACCCAGTTATTTGTAAATAAAGTTTAAACAGAGGAGAGTAACAATGTATTTTTTTATCTTTTATTTTTTTGTTCAAGAGAAACAGTGTTTATTGTGATATTGAAGTTTATTCTTGTTTCCTTCAAAGAAAAAGGAAGATGCAAAAACTTGTGAGGATTTTATGTATCAAATGTTGCTGTAAAAGCATAACTAATTGTTGCATTTGATTGCATATCTGATGTTCTTTATAGCCTCTTGTGATTTTGTTTTCTTTCTATCTCTCTGATTCTTGCAATTTTCTCTCTAAAGTTTCAGCTCCAGAGTGAATATTGTGGCTGGACTCAACTTCAACTCAGTTTTATTTGCCCACTTGTAATATCAGCACTCCAGTCCTCATCCAAATACTGCACTTGGGTACTGGAACATCTTTACATATTATGCTGTTGGTGTGTGAGTGTATCTGTCTGGCTGAGAGAGAGAATGTGTGAACAAATGATGAGGCAAAGTTTATCTGGCATTGTAGCAATATTACAAGATGCATTACAATGTTTCATCTCATATTGATTGATTTCACTTTTACATATTTGGTTGATGAATTCTAATCTTCCAGAAACCACAGTTTTAAAAAGCAAACGAACAATACTGGCCTGTAGCACATCTCTGCTCCTGCCCATACCTTGGAAACCTTTCTTACTGTGATTCTGTTTGTACCTCTTTGTTTCTGCCTGCCTGTCTCTAACTTTTCTTCCCTTTGTATCTGGTATTTCAAAACCCTTAAGGTTATTTCTTCCAAGTAGGGATTATGCCTTCCAATATTTAGGGACTCTCTGTCTTAAATACCGTAATACCAAATTTTGCCAGCTGTTCAGAGAAAAGGATTGTGTTCTGAATTCCTCTACTTCTTGCCCGAGGTAGAGAATGAAATTCTGTCACAGTGATAGAAGCTTAGCCATCATCAGGAAGATTTGTTTGCTTTTATCTATTGACAGCTCTATATGTGAATGAGGATGAGGAAGAGTCTCCTTTATGAAAAATATCTTGTCCTGATTAACTATCAAGTGAAGAAACTTCTTAATCCCTCTATTCCAGAAGTGGTGGTCTATATATTTCATATCCCTTCTTAACTTACCTGTCTAGTTCTACATTGGCAGCTTCAAGGAGTTTTCTTGAAATTAAGTTCTTATTTTCCAAAAGCCAAATGAATGATGTAACTGGTTTTCCTCACTGTAAAAGGGTCTGGAATACAACTGTGTGTTATGTGAAATACTGATGTGCTTTTTTGGTTTGCACTTAAAAATTACTTGCTCAAAAAAAAAAAATAATGCTGCAACAGTTCCATATGAACAGAGCCACTGGACTCCCTGTTTCTCCTCATCAATGTAACTGTTTGGCATAAGAATCTTTTGAATAGAAAAATATGAACAGAATCTCTGCCTCTAGGAAATTTTAGGGGTTTTATTTATTTATTGAGAGCAACTGAAAAATTTGCTTTTTTGGTCTGACACAGGACTTCAGAAATACGGGAAAATTAAAGATGTGACAATCATGCTCCAGCCTAGATGCATTCTGCCCTGTTGTGTAACACACAGAGTCTCATGTTGCCCTCAGGGTAAAGGACAACCACATGGAACAGGAGGGATTTTGAGAGGGAAGGGAGAAAGTTCCCACAGCTACAGAGGAAGATGGAAATTTTTCAGGGGGAGCTAAGAAAATGGTTAAAAGACTCACTCATGTTTAGGCATTTTGCTTTTGAATGGGAATATGTGAAGGCTCAGGAGAGACTTCTGCAGTGGTAGAAGCTTTATTAGGGTTGTTCTTAATTCAGCTTTTTGGGATCCCATCGTGTCATGAGGAGAGGCACCTCACTCAGCAGGCTGCTGAAACACTGCAGTTGATTCACTGCAGATCACACCTTGGTCTGGAGCTCTTCACCTTCAGGGACAAAACCAGCTGAATTTTTGAAAGTTGCTTTTTGCTGCCTGGTTTATATGATCAGGTTTTCAAGGGGATGAGAGTGCTTTTCAAACATGCATTTTTAGAAAGAGATATTGTTAAAATCTGGAGAAATTGTGGTGGGCTGTAAACTTTTCTGCCTGAGCATTGCGTCTGCAACAATAGGCCAGGATTTCTACAGCTTGTCACTGTAGTAAATTTATTATTCCATTGCCAAATCTTATGCTCCTTTTATGCTTAAAATTTTTAGTGCTGATCTGTATTTGTTGATGAGTTGATGGTATACTACACCCTATAATCACTGGCTTCACTGCCAGGTTGGAAGTTGTGCTCAAGCTCAGTAAAATGTTCCATAGTAAGGGAAACTGGAAGGTGAAAAGCTTTGTATTTACAAATCTGCCTGCAGACTCTGACTGTTTTGATGGGCACGTTTCAGTAGAAATGTAGGCTTTTTGTTGCACTGCTTTAAAATCTAAGTGATAGGAAAACCTAGTAAAAAGCCTGGTGACTGTTACCATGCTTAGTTAAAGGATTCCAGACAAAATAGTTTAGTGTACTGACTTTTCAGACCACAGACACAGGAACAGAGGGGAAAACTAATAAAATGGCAGAAGAGACTAGAGTCTTGGAACTGGAGGAAGCATGGTGATTTGTTTTCACAGCCTCTAGTAAGAGGCAGATTGCTCTGATTCACTGAGGAGTGGCCATTATAGAGGAAGAGGGGAAAATAATGATAAAACCAGCACTCAAACCAGTAGATGTGTGGATTCCTCCAGCTACCATTGGTTACTAGTTATTACCGTGGCATCAGGAATGGGACAGTGAAGTGTGGGCTTTATTCTTGAGACTATCTCCTCTTCAGGACACTTCATCCACATTCAGGATTTCTGGGAGAGCAAAATGTGACAGACTAGCTGCTACATGGGCAGAGACAAGCTGTGGAAGCTATCATAAAAATAAAGTAAGGATAGTCTTGGTAAGGGTGGGGAGAGGTTCTTTAACATCACCTGTCTTTCCAGTCAAAGACCCACAGACTCTTGCATGTTTTCCTCCAAAATGCCAAATCCTACTGTTCCACTCTGACTTCATGTCAGCAATATGTCGTATTTCTGTCTTGCAACCCTTCTAGAGGCAGGTGGGGTTGCAGAAGTCAGTTGGCAGGCTTTTGATCTTAGCTGGCTGTGCTTCTCTGTTATTTATTTCTTTTCCCCCTGTATTCCCCACAGTAATCTTCCCCCTTCTGCAAAGGTTGAATGAAGAGGATAAAATTAGTGAGTCACAGTAGGAAAAGTTGCTGTCTGTAGATGAAAAGACAAAAGGAATTTTCTGCTGGAGCTTCCAATAGAGGCAAGAGGTTTACAGGGATCTCATTTTTCAGCTGGCTTCACTCTCTGGCACAAGAGTCCAAGGCTGTAGGGTACTGTGTGGGTTTTTTCCTCTGTTTTTGGAAGGTGTCAAGTAACCAAGTTTCCATGGAATGTGGAGTGCTAGGTACACAAGAACAATGAATAACTACTTTTGTTGGCTTTGGGACCTTGAGGATTATTTGTGAATCCTCACTGGAAAAGCTTTCTTAGTGGAGCAAGAAGGGATTTGGGAGCAGAAGCATGAAGTACCCTTTCTGTGTTTGTATTACCTGAGCAAGAGCAATTGAGCCTCTCCTGCTAGGTGTAAGAGAAATGACATTCCTAAAGAAGGGATCTGGGAAAACTCCGGTACTTTTCTGGATTGTTCAGTTAACCATGGAGTGGGAATAGATGCTTGTTGCAAAACTTTAAAAATTTATGGTCAGTGCTCAGTGATGGACAGAAAACTGCTGGAGCTGAAGTTCAGGAGAATATAAACTATGTTTGGAATATGTTGAAACTGGTAAATTACTCCTCCAAGTACCACCACTCCTGCTCTCATATTCTTGCAGGACTAGGAAACAGCACTGTCATTTGCACTGTGCACTTTTTGCTGTCTAACTAATAGGACCTACAGTAAATGGAATGGCATAATGTGCACTGCATCTATTAGCTGTAGTCATTGGACAGAAGGTTTATCATTAGCTGGATTTTTCACTGTATACATTTGGCCCCTTGCTGTTTAAGGAGAATTGCACTCACAATTCCTTTTACCAAAAACACAGTCATCTGAGAGCACATATAATAGCAAAAGCCATGTTAGTCACATACATGTTATCTTTGTAGAACTTGATTATAAGATTATAAAATGAGAAAAAAATGTTTTCTTTGTATTTTCAAGGATCTTGCCAGTTGTGCAGTTCTTAGGTTCTGAAGTCTTGAACTCAGCACCCTTCTAGGATAAGTTTAAAATTATTGTCCAACAGCCTCTCCAAAAGCACAGAATGATGTACTTTTCAAAACCAGCTATAACTGAATAATAAAGTCCCACCACAGAAACTCAGTTTGGGAGGTATTTTTCTGTTTCTGTTTTTAAGGGGCACTGAATAAAGAGATGCATGTTTAGAGAGAATACTAGATACCACTTAAGTTCACAATAAGGAAGGGTATAGGTCCTGGGTAATGTAATGAACTCTGCCTATTGCCTGTAGCTCTCCACATACTATGTGCTCACTGTGCAGCAGATCAAGATGTATCTGTGCATTTGAAGATTACTGGACCCCTGCTAACCCTTTGGATCCATGTTACTATGAAAGCAGAAGCCTGGTGTTTCCAGTTTTCCCTCCCCCTATGGCCTAAACTAAACACTAAGAACAAATTCATCTGTATTTCTTGTCTTTTTTGGGTAAAGAGGGCTGGGGAAGAGTGTTCATTGTTATATGTCAACAGGCCGGTGCTGGCAGGTCCAGGCTACTGCTGTTGGCTTTATGGCAAAGTCCTCCACTGTGTCATGCTGAAGCTTCATTTCTGGCACAAAAAGGATGTTTGAAAGTATGTCTTGCTGGGTTAACAAATACCAGAACTTTTTATAGTAATATGTCCAAAATGCTGCTTGTATAGGAATTGTCACTTTTGTAAGAAAAGAAAAAAAGGCACAAAAAAAAAAATCATACGACCTCCCCATTTGATGCCATTACATAAGATTTCATTTAAGCTACCTCTCAGTGTGCAATTCACACATTAGGTAAGTTTAATAAGGTTTTCTCACTGACATGTTATAGTTATAGTGAATAAAGTCATAGTGAATGCCAAAATTGCGAAAGTTTACCACCAAAAAGGAAAAGTTGTCTTTATTTTTTAATGTGTGTTTGAAAGAATCCAACATTTTCAAGTTATTATAAACTCTGTTATATTCTTTTAACTTCTGTAGTTTCAACCTTGCAAACTCTAGCTGCTGGACAGGAAATAAATCATGCCTTCATAATTGCAGTCTGCTGGGTAAAAACAATTTTGTATGCAGCTTTGTCATTTGGATATAGATAACCTCAGTCACCAAATGTACCATTAATTTGGTTGTCTTTTTCTTCAGAGCTTGGGGTATGAAGTTGATGAATGGTATTCTGTAATGGATGTGTGCCACAAATTACATGGTCTCATTTGCCTTTTCTGAATTTTAATGATCAGTTTATTATTGCAGATGTGAATATTGTTCATACAGCCTAATTTCTGTATAATTGTATAAAATATAAATGGAAAAAATTATAAGTTTTTATCCAATATATAGAAATAATGTATAATAATAGACTTACGTTGTGGTTTTACTTACAGAGTACTGTACTTCTTTTAAACTGGATCATACCATCTTGATAGGTGTAGGTAGGGTTTTTTTGCATGAGTGTGTTTTGGGTTTGTTTCTTTTTAATTGAAGTTTGAGTCTCTTAAGTTCTGTGTTCAGTGTTTGTGTTTACTACTTGTGATCATGTAGTTGTGCCTTACATTGTGAAAGAATTTAGTCCAGTGTGCACTGTAATTCTTAAACTCTGTGATTTGGAAGGTGGCTGTGGATTTGAATGAGAAGGTGACACCCTGCATCAACCAGTTCTGTATAAATGATAAAGAAATGTTACTGAAATGTCGTTTTTGTTTTCTAACCTGTTAAAGGAATGATTAATAACAATAAAAAAAAGTTAGACCTTTCTAATAGACCAGTTATATCATTCAAAACTACCTTGCCCCATTTCAGGCAGCAAAACTACTTTGAAATGGAGGACTACAAATGAACTGTTGGGAAGCTACACATCTAAAAACAAGCTAAACACTCCGGTTTCTTGGACTTAGGGGGAGCTGCAACAAAGGCTTTCACATTCCTGAGGACACAGTCATAATGACTGTTTTTCAAATTTGTTTTTTTCACAGGTTAAATTCAGAGTAGTCTTTCCATTTCCAGTAGCTGTACAAGGCTGCTGGATATCCCACATTCTATTAAAGTCCTTCTGTCCCTGACTGTGTTCAGACATCACATTCAGTTGGATAAATGCCATAACTGGAAGACTCAAAAGTAGCACTTGTTTTATTTTTCAGACAAATGAAAGTCTTGCTTTTGAGACAGAAAGCTCTTTCAGAGTGGAACTGTGTTGCAGAGAGAAGCCAGATGATTGATGTGGGTGATCAGTCCTATGAGAGAGACACTATTGAATTGTGGGAGCATTAACAAAAGCCTGTGTTTGGCTACTGAAGCAGGTCTTACTTGGGTGTCTGTGTAAAAGTGGACAAAAACGGAGAGAAGAGGTCTCTGAAAGGCAGTTTGAGTTGGGAAGTCAATTTCTGCCTCGACTGCTTCCTGAGGTGTCTTTCCCTTGAGACCACAGAAGAGCTTGTTGAGCTTGCATCTCTGTGAAGACAGCCTGTGTGTTACTACTGCCCTCCTTGGAGACATGCTGGCCTCCTGGAATTACAGAACCTCTGGCACTACTTGTTTCGTAAGTGAGCAGATGTGGCTTAAGGTTGTTTTGGTAAAAAATATGCTGAGTGAAGTACCTGCTTCCTTCTGCCAGCACACAAAGCACAGAGCTTAGTCTGTCAGGTGTGACTGCTTTGGGCTTGAAATATCTTTCTGTCCTGTCAGCATTGGTTTGAAGACACTGTGAGGCTCTGGTGAGCACTAGGTATGATGCAGTGTGCAGCTGAGCTTGGGACTGGGGAGATGGAGCACGGGACTGGGGAGATGGCCGTGTCAGACAAGTTGTGTCTAAATGTTTGCAGCTTGTGTGGTGTCCCTGTGCAGATCTGCTGTCTGCACTCTGTTCTGCTCTCCTGCTTTACACATTCACCGCTTGGCATGGAGCCTGAGTGGCTGTTCCTTTCCCAGGAAGCTTGCCCATCATAGGCACAGGGGAACGTGTGTATCACAGCAGCCTAGGCTGCATTTGGAGAGATTGAAGCAGGTAAGTGCACACACAGATATACACATATACACATATATGCAAAAAGCATTGTGTGATATTATAGTTTAGTAGGTAGAGATGCATAACTATCAGGAGCTATGGCTACACAACTGTAATTTAGTGAAATTTATTAAAACTGTTTGAATGATGGAATAAGCCTTCTGACCTCTCTGGTGAATGAATTCTCCTCACCAACATAGGAGTTTTTTCCTGTCATGCTTCTAGGAAATTACAGGCTGTATTAAAGCTTCCCTGTGTGGAGACAGTCTTCCCTAAATGAAGCAAAGAGCATCTAGGAGCCATACATTTGTTTCATGGCTCATTCTCCCTCTCCAATTTATTCCTACATGGCATGGTCCAAACTGCTCACCTTTGTCTAGTCAAGTCAGAAATCTGTTAGTTTCAGAAACTTAAGGCATTCTGGAAGAGATAACTGTGTTTTCACTACAGCAGTCTTCCACTGGCTCTGTCGGTGCAGTGCTGGCATTGTTAAATTTCAGAGGATTCAACTGGGAAGCAGAACTCAGTGCTTTTCCTGGTTTGGTGTCTTGTGGTGTAATTGGCGATTGCTGTTTCTATCTGTGACATCCATGCTTTCTGTAACAAGAAAAAGTATTTGTAAACCAAGACAACCTAAAAAAATTCCATTCAGATGCATAAACACACAGAGCCTTTAGTTTTATTTAGCCTTTCTTCAGGCTCTTGCTCATAATTGCTGAAGCAAACATGAATTATCCCAGAATTGAGGCTCTCCCAGTTGCTGAGGCCACTACATACTGCTGGAATCTGTGTCTTGGCCAGAGATTTCCAGTGAATGTTTCCTTTTTGACTGGAAGGTAGGATTTGCTCTGTTTGCTTGTACTAGTGAGGTTTGTTGACGGCTCTTTCACCTGTTTTTATGTGATGTTTATTTTTTTAATGCTGTTCCTCTGATTAAGACAGCCGCAGTTCTATTTGCAAGTGCAGTTCCCCTCCAAGATCTGCCATATGCTGCCATCTGAATTTCAGTTTCTATCATGGTGCTGACAACATTCAGCCCTATAGTTGCTGTCATCCAGGCGTGAGGACAGAGGGTGATGGCTGGAGAGATAATTTAAAATATGTAGCTTCCTTCTCTCTTTGCTAGTCCAATGGTCTTATCACAGAGGCTGAGTTGTCTCTGAGTTGCTATGATTACACATTGGAATAATCTTAAAAGGATTAATCCTTTGGACTCAAACCTTTAAAAGTCACTCCCAACCCAAACTATTCTATGATTCTATGATTCTATGACATTGAGAAGATGGTAGCCCTGGCGTGAAGGCAGCTTTGAAAAAGAAAGGTCATATTTCATTAACAGGAGAAGGTAACCACTTCTTCAGTAGATACCTGTTCTAAGTCCCAACCAGTGACTTGGAAACGGAAAGAATTCACTCATTGCTTTTCCTGGAAAAAGTCTACTGCTGTTTACTTTTAAGAATTAGTATTAGTGGTGGTCAAATTTCTGTGCATTAGGTATTGGAGAATGAAATTCAACTTACATGAGAAAGCAAAATACTGTGAAGTGCCTGACACACTTTCAGATGTTATATACAGTGCTGTTACTAGAAATGGGATATGGTGTGAAAATAAGGGGTAAATTTATACCACAGTGAAGTTAATCATACCATCTGTTCAGTCTGAAATTGCAAGATGCATGTTGTGCTAGATGAGCATTAGACAGTTTTCTGATCTGAGTACTACTGCATGTGAGTTGGTGGGCAGGGTTTGGTATTGACTTCTCTGGACTAGGGGCTGATCATCGTCATTTCTGATGCAAGAAATGGCTCTTTTTTTTTTTTTTCTTTTTTTAAGAAATCAGAGTTGATAATGCTTTTCAACAAGAATATGACTTGCTGTCAACCCTGATATAAAACTGGTACATGTTCAACAGCAAAAATTCTGTAACAAATGTGTGAGCCAGAGCACTGAGGTGTTATTTTGTTTTGGTTGGTTTTGGTCAAATGACACAACTGTAATAGATTCTTATCACAGCTGCTCTCCTCCTTTAGGGAAAGTGTAGTTGTGTAATTAGAGAAGAAAAATAAGGTGTGCTACTTACCTTGGCAGTCTCTGTTGGAGCTTGTAGCAAGAAGACTGCTATACACTGCTGATACCTATTTTCATACTGTATTAAGAAAGCATTTCACAGGCTGAAGACTGTGAAGAATGTGAAGAAGTGATATTAATACGTCTCATACAGCTGTCAGTCTCATTTTATATCTCATCAATTATGATTGAAGAAATTATACATCTAATCACCTTTTCAACCCTGATAGGATGAATTTTTTTGTTGGATGGAAAGCTTTCTTATTTCAAAATCTCAATTCTACCTGCATTTGTTTTATTTTTAAATACTTTATCATTGTGCAGCTAAGGTGCTTTTGAGTCTAGCTGAGGATCATTAAGAAATATTTCCCTTCAAAGTGGACTAAATCATAACTGAAGTTGGAGGAGAACAAGTATCAAAAATTGAAGAGGAAGGCCCTATTTTTATTTTATTGAAATAAATCCTTATGACAGCTGCCACATAGGGAAGTGACTGCACTTGGGCTAATGGTGTGTTTGGGTTCTTCCTGGGTGTGTGCCTGAGCTGGTGCTCCTTTTGGGGATGCCCCAGTTGGCTGCTGGCAGCAATATCTTACAGGACCAAGCATGTTGCCACCCTGTTTCCTGTTGCCACCCTGTTTCCTGCCAGACTTTTGGTCCTGAAGATGACTTTGAGCATCATGTGGCACATTTTTTTGCAAGGGGACAAATTGACACAAAATGTCACATCTGGAATGAAGGGGTGGCTCAAGTCTGCTATGAAGCAAGCTTAGGGGAAGAGGAGAGAAAAGCATCTTCAAGCAGCCAAAACCCTGTGGCAGACAGCAGGCATACTTGGGTGGGCTGGTAGTAGCAGGGAGGGGGACACAGCAACCTGTTCCAGTCCTCTGGATTCACATGGCATTGCATTTTTTTAAACTGGAGTTGATGTTACTCTGAATGAAGCAATGGTGACTGAGGTGTGGGATTGCTTCCCTGTGAGCGCTCACCCTAAGCAGAGCCCTGCTCCTGAATCCTCAATCATGCAGCCTGAGAATAGCTCAGATCTCAAGCTGCTGCGACAAGGCAGCATTTTTTGGAGCCTACTGCAGTTGACATATCTTTTGACAAATTCATCTAGTTCATATAACTTGCTCTGAAGTCTTATACTATGTACATTATCTTGCTGCTGTGTAATGCTTCCTGTCCAAGCGCTTTACAAGTGCTGGCCAAGTGCTCAGAATGTTTCTGCCAGATGAAGAACTGTATAATCCTAGTTTTGTAGAAAAGGGAAATGGAGCACAGACTGGTAAACTACTGCAGCAAATCAGCAGCAGAAATTTGTAGCAGCAGAGGAGATATGTTTCTGAACTCACACCTTCTGCCTGTCTGTGGTCAATAGGAAATAGAACTTTACAGTTCTTAAAATGAATTTTCTGGACAATGCTTGGCATTAAGGTCTCAATAATATTTTCTAAAAGAAATTCTGTGGTTGTAAAGATTTGATGCAGTAGCATCTAGTATACTAAATACAGTATACTAGTCTTTGATACAGTTACCTATCAGTGGGTCTGACCCCTTCAAATGTAGTGTAAAGCATTATTACTGGAGTAATAATAAGTAGTTGCAAAGATTAAATCCAGAGCAGAATGATAAAAAGAAAGTGATCTTCTAATCAGAAATTATGTTGCTGCTTACAACCTTCAGAGACGGGTTCCTACTATTACACTTACATGTAAAGTTACATCTCTTGTAACTTTGTCATGGTGTTTGCAGATAGTTCTACTTTTAGGATAGCTTCCAGGTGTTATCAGCAAACCATTTTACCTCTTATCTCTTCACTGATACGTAGGCGGCTTTGGACTAGAATTATCCTGCATAATTTTTAGCTTCCTGCCTGGTGTCAAAAGGGTATTTCTATGATATCACAACATTTTTTTTCCCTAGTACTTGTATTGAGCTTTGTTTATTTCCAAAGTGAGGTCAACCCTCAGCAAAATAATGAATGCAAAAGTACTTGTTAGATCAAAAATCAGGATTTCATTTTTGATTAATGTGATGGATCACATGCCCTTTCTGGGAACATGCTAACTAATCTTTTAGTGCCAGCAGTAATGAAAGTCTCCTTGAGACTACAAATAAATTGGCAACATTCCCCAAGGTCATACATTCCAGACAATATTTAATTATTTTTTTCCCTCTGCAAAGGGACATTTTCTGTTGACATTAGAAGGTTTGCCTGTTGTTTTACACAGAATGGTGGAAATCTGAACTGCAAGCCCTTGATGGTAATTTTTCTCACTATTTTTATTGTACCCTTTCCCAAGGGGTCCTGTATTAGGATGGGGCTTCGAAGTTGTTGCAAGACTACACGTTAGTAACAGAGACTGCCATAGCTACAGCTGTAGCTGGAGAGAACGGCTGTAGCTGGGAGAGAAGTCAGGTCCAGGTTGCAGGATAATGTCATAACCAGTGGACAGAGGCTGGGCTGGGATGCAGAAGACAACTTTGTCTATCCTGATGCTGGATCACAAAGATATAAAGACCCTGATTAAAAATCTCTGAATGTAGGAAATGCTGTCCTGGAAAAAAAAAAAAATCAGAAATCTTATTCCCATCCTCATTATGGATTTTTTGGCCAGTCTTTTAGATGCAAACTGGAGGGTGGCTGCAGAAGCTGTCACCTGGCATCTAGCCTGGGCTTACACAGGACATGGGGCTGCCCTCCCCTCCACCCTGCAGGCAAGAGGTGGCTGATGTATTTGCTCCATTTCTGCTGGGTTGGTAGGGAGATTTATTAGGCAGGCAGACAACACTTGGAGCACATTTAAAAATGGGTTATTATTCTGTGTTCATTTCCTTATCTCATATTTAGTCATTTGCCTTTTATTGCCTGGCTTTATTTCCTCTCAGCATTGATGCTGAATGCTAAATACTCTGGGTGCATATATTTCAAAGTTATCATGAATTTTACAGGCTCTAGGTTTATTCTCCTTATCTGTTGATTTCCTACAGAGCGCTCTAGCTCCCTAAGCTTTTCCTCTCAGTCTTTAGGATTAGGATGACCCTGCAGCCAAGAGATTTGTGTTTCTTTTAATTCTCTTTGATATGGGAGGCTCCTGTGATCTTGGCAGTGTTAGACTGAATCACAGAATCATTAAGCTGGAACAGACCTCCAAGGTCATCAAGTCCCGCCTTTGACCGAACACCACCATGTCAACTAGATTGTAGCACTAGGTGCCATGTCCAGTCATTTCTTGGACACTTGCAGGGATGGTGACTCCACCTCCTCCCTGGGCAATCCATTCCGATGTCTAATCACACTTGCAGTGGAAAAATTCTTCTTGATGTCCTACCTGAACATCCCCTGGCTCAGACTGAGGCCATTTCCTCTAGTCCTGTCCCTAGTTGCCTGGGAGAAGAGACTGCCCCCCTCCCTGGCTACAGCCCCATTTCAGGTAGTTGTAGAGAGTGATTAGGTCTCCCCTGAGCCTCCTTTTCTCCAGGCTAAACACCCCCAGCTCCCTCAGCTGCTCCTCATAACCTTTGCCCTCCAGACCCTTCACCAGCTTTGTTGCCCTTCTCTGGACATGGTCCAGAACATCAATGTCTTTCTTGTAGTGAGAGGCCCAGAACTGGACACAGCACTTGAGGTGTGGCCTCACCAGTGCCGAGTACAGAGGGATAATCATTTCCCTGGTCCTGCTGGCCACACTATTTCTGACACAGGCCAGGATGCCGTTGGCCTTCTTGGCCACCTGGGCACACTGCTGGCTCATGTTCAGTGAGATGTTGACCAGCACCTTCTGGTTCTTTTCCTTTGTGCCGCTTTCCAGCCACTCTTCCCAAGGCTGTAGTGCTGCGCAGGTTTGTTGTGTACAGGGTTGTTGTGACCCAAGTGCAGGACCTGGTATGTCACCCTATTGAAGCCTTGGCCCATTGATACAGCCTGTCCAGATCCTTCTGCAGAGCCTTCCTACCCTGCAGCAGATCAACACTGCCACCCAACTTAGTGTAGTCTGTGAACTGAAGAGTGCCCTCACTCCCCTCATCCAGGCTTTTTACAAAGGTGTTAAACAGGACTGACCCCAGTACTGAGGCCTAGAGAACATCACTAGTGCCTGGCCACCAGCTGGATGTAGCACCATTCACCACCACGGTTAGGTGTGTGAGAGCCTGCATCAGCAGCTCAGACCAAGGGGAGGTCTGATGTTTCATGCCTGGTCCCTCATCCAAGCTCTGATTCGGTGACTTCAGGAATGTTGTTTTGGCAGGGTAAGGCTGGTCACTCTCGCTGGAGGTCAGTCCTCCTCCCCTCCTCTCCCAGCTGCGCAGCACCAGTTATAGGAGGTGGTTTTCCCCAGTGATGCATTTGGATGTCTGAGAACAAGGAAGCACTGATATATGATGGTGATTTCTGTCCTCTTGAGGGCTAATGGAGAGATGAGTAGGAGTAGCAATAGGAGGTAAATCCCCTCTCCAGCCTCCTTGAGAATGGCTGCTGTGCATGTGGGAGGACACCTAGGAGAATAATGTAGTGAGAAAAGTGAAAAAATGCTGCCTAACTAGAATGGAATTGAAAATGTACTTGGGAAAGAGGCCTGGGCTTTGAGAGAGTATATTAGGACAATTAGGGCAAGAAAATACTTGGCTTGTGAGAAAGAAGTAATTTGAGCCTTGATACCTCCTTTGGGGTGAATGGATAATACCTGACAGTCACTGGTGCGTATGTGAAAGTCACTCTTAGAGGCAGGGGGACTTGGGGTGTAAAGTCTGTGGCAGTCGCTCATGCCTTAAAACGAGCAGAGCTGTGAAGCCACAGTGGTGAGGCACGTGTGTTTGCTCTTCAGGCATCTGGGGGTGGTTTGTGGACAAACAGCATCTTATCCTTACACTGCCATGCACACAGAGTGCATTGACGTGGTGTTTATGAAGGCATTCAGATGCATGCAGGCACATACCTGTAACTTGGACAGGTTCAATGTTTTTCAGTGTTAGTCTGTCTAGTGGGATGGGCTGGTCCAGGACTGTGCAAAATCCACCCTCTCTTATGAAGGACTGCAGTTCAGGAGTGAGGGAAGGACAGACAGGGATTAAGCTGGTGTCTGAACCCCCATATTTCTGGGAATAGAAAATGAAGCTGGTTAGCCTATTGTCTGCCATCTGCTCATGAAGTATAGGCACTAAAGAGAATTAAATTATGTGCTTTCTCTTATCAAAGATACACAGATAGCTTTTTTGCCTGAGGAATCTTAGAAAAACTCACTGGTACCTGGAGCTCTCCTGCAAGGTCATACCTTGCATTAAAAAGACACAATAGAAACACAGGCAGAAATCAGCCGAAGGTGTTCAAAAGGATTTTTTCCCCTTCCCCTCTTATTTTAATAGCAGGTCTTTTTCTCTATTTCTTGGAGTTGTGTTTCACCATCTCCCCTCACATAAATGCTGGAGACAGAAAATTCCCAGAGCTGCAGATGAGTTGCAGCCCTTCACAGAAGATTCACCAACACATGTATGTGGGACAACCCTCTAAAAGACTTGCCTGAGGGTACCTGGTCCCTTGAATTTCTGCTTCCTACACCACTACTCCTTCTAAGGGATGGTGCTGCTGGTCCCAAATCCCTCACTGCATGTTTTCTCTATCTCCTTTCTTTCTAAAGCAGAACACCTGCTTCTTTAAAAAAAAAAAAATAATACAAGAAGTTTTTAAATCAGGCACAAACTTGTTGAGATTTAGCAAAGGTCAATTTAGACTTAGTTTAAATCAGCTTCATAAACTGAATTAGCTAGATGCACTCCTACACTGAAGCTTTAGGAATTTTTGGTCATCCAGTGCCTTTCTTTTGTGGCTAAATACAGTTCCTTATTATCTATAGAACTCTATAGCACCATTCATCAAGAAACATTTTCTTAGGTGAAGTCACTATATCTCAGCTTTAAGCTAGGGGAAATCAAGGCAAAGAGAGCACAACAGGCAGTGTAGGAACTGAGAATAAAGCCAAGCTTCTATAATTTTAGCATTTCCCTGGTTTTTTCCCTTTCTTTTTTCTTGGGTTTTTTTTTCCCTTTCCCACAATTCTGATATCTCTAGGATAAAACAAATCTCAGATTACTGAAATGAGTCATTCAGGGAACATTAGAAAACTTTTTCCATTCTTGAACCTTTTCTGAGGTTTAGTTTTTCTCAGCACTTGAGAATCCAGCACATTCCCTAATATCAGGAAAATATTAAGGTCTTTTGATGTAAATTTTGCCTGTAATAGCGTTCCTGTAACATACTGAGCCTAGAAGCAGGGTTTTGAATCAGTGTTATGGTTTGCTATTAGCATAAGGAATTATCACCTGTTCTTCATGTTGATTAGTTATCTTATTATCTTATTAGTTATCTTATCATTAGATCAATCTGCTAAAGTACCTTCAAAATCCTTAGCAAACTAAAAACCATAACAACTACAACCATGTATATCTCTATACGTTATTACCTTTTTGTAGCGTTTAATTTTGGTTATTAGTAGGAAATCATCGAATAGGAAGAGGTAGACATCAAGGAGTCTTGTGCTTTCTGAGAAGGAAAAAAAAGACAATTTTACGGTGTGATTATTTTAAGGAATTGCTGCCTCTAAGATGAGGCATATCTGTGAATCACTGCATTGTACAAAATGCTTTTAACAATGAAGCCTTGCTTCCAGTAATTTACCACTGCTCGTTCCTCATATGAGTCTGTCTTCTCAAATGCAGTAAATCATATGTTGCTTGTTCATTTTGGCTATTTATACTTGTACCTTGTAGCAGCTACCTCATTGTGATTAAACAACTACTTGAATGCCAGGCAAAATGACCTGAATCAATGTTGTACAAATTACAACAATCAGCATGCTATAGACTAGCAAATCCTGCCTGGTAAACACGGAAACTTCTGAAAATGGCAGAGATAAAGGAACAGGGAAGTGCCACCTTTTCCTGGTATGCTGCCCTTTTCATATGCCTTTGCAGTGATGAAGTGTTATTTGATAGCATCATACAAGTGTGATAGAAAGTGTTGTAGAAATCAACTTGCTTGTGTTGGATCACTCTGCTACCTGTGGAGTTAATGGCATGTTGTATGAGTGCTCTGGTCATGAAAGGGGAGCCACCTAGCAGGATAACACCTTCTTGTTCCAAGGTATCTATCAGAACAGCAGACTTAGCAGAGATGAAGTTGAAATAAAAATAGGAAATACATTTGGACTCTTCAGTAATTTTCAGTGAAACACATAGTAGATATGGTGCTAGAGGGGTGAGATATGTTGACATCAGTCCCTGCCATGTGGTGCGCCTAGGACAATCTAAACTGCCTGTTTCCCTATTTCCACATTCTTCAATATGACAGCACAGGCTCCCTTTGAGTGGCAGATTTTGGCCAGCCTGACTGATTTTTTCAGCACCTGGCAGACTGAGTATTCAGATGTGTCAATAAACTATCATACAGACTACTTATCCTTTTGGCAGTTTGCCTGTATCTGAGTCTCTCTCTGACAAGCTACAAATTTGCTTTTTCTTTCATGCGCCTGCCTAAGTGCTATTGCAGAGGTTCGTTCTGAACCTGCCGTGACAATGTATAATTCTGTTAAGCTATCTCGCAGCATCAGGACATTCAGGGACATTACCTGCTAACATCAGCCTCCCTTCATGAAGGAGAAGTCTGTTTGCTGAAGACAAAATGTTTTCACTGCTGCTTTCTCGTAAGCTTTGCTTCAAACACTTGACCCAAAAAAAAGAGAGAGAAAATGGGTATTCTTGCATATTTGATCATGAACTGGGAGGTAACCAGCAGTTAAAGAAGATGAGCATACGTGTGTTCTTGTCTCAGGCTAAATACATCACACAGCTGACAACTGAGCACGGCTGTGTTTCTTCAGCAGTGCTATTGCTTAAACATGTTTATGCTTTTGAAATGTTAAGCTGGAGTTTACTTTTCCGAAGTGAGTTTAATAGTTTTTGCAGCCCTGTATATGAGCAGACAAAATCCTTGAGGTGAGACTCACTTGGTGATGTTACCATAATGCTGTTTAAAGTCTGTCTATTTGGGTAAGAGGATTAGAACAGTAGAAAGGTACACACCCAGGTGTGATGTGTAATTTTTTTGTAATACTACTTAAATGTAAATGAAAAGTTCTTTGGCTCAGCTCAAGGAGTGAGAGAGGCAAATAATTTGTAATTAATATCTATGTTAAATGGTGGTAATACTTACACGTATCCCATTTAATTCTGTCCCCTAAAAACAAATATTGGAGAGTCTTCCTGGACTGTATGACTGCACTCTCTTGGATGCTAGCTAGGAGGAACCCATGCTGTCATCCAAGGCACTGTGTGTATTCAGCTACAGTGTTTGCAGCTGCTCCTGTTAGAGCCATCCCCAGTAAATAGAATACAGACAACCAGCCAACTTTAGACCACATTATAAAGATACATAGGAAACTAAATCATCCCCAAGTTAAAAATGCCCTTTCAAATCTTCTTACCTCTGGGACAAAGAACCTTTTGTCACGATCCCAGACCTGAGGCCAAATTATGACCTCTTGCAGCTGCCTGAACTTCTGAAAGTTGTCCAACCACTTGACTTTACCTTCCAGGTCCCCTGAAATGTGTGAAACCCCAGTTACTGCCAAAGTTGGCATAAGCAATCCTGTTCCTAGAAGATGCTAAATACCAATTTTCTCCAGTGAAAGCCAAAGTGCCTCACATGTTAGGCCCCAGAAGAAATCTTGGCCTCATTGTAAAAAATGCTTAAACTCTTCTTAGGTCAACAGGGACAGAATTTCAATTCATGCATTCAAAGATGCTTCAATTCACTGCTAAATGAAAAGGTTGTGTTTACTAATCTGTCTGGGGAACAGAGGAAATCATATAAAACTCAATAAAACTGTAATCTTAAAAAATATCTTTAAAAAGGTCCTGCCTTTCTAAACTGTGTGGTACAGTGAGAGAAAAATAATTTTCATTATTTATAGCCTGATAAAAAGACTGTTACAATTACTGAGAATTAATTTTGGAGGAAATGTTGGAGAAGTGACTGAAATATTTAACTGGGGTGGGAGTGCCTCAGAAAGTGAAAAATGGGGACTGTGTCATTGCAGATTTAGGGCCAATATGGGGAAAGCTTTCACGGACCTGCAACTTAAATTTCAACTTTTTGGGTTGAGTGATATTGCAGATGACTGTTTCAGACACACACCTCCCCACCAGAAGGGTAATGCTGTGACTGCAACTGTTCTTTATGCCACTGATTCACTGATCAGAAAATGAAGGCAGATCCTTGTTGGGCGTCCGTGAACAAACAGGGATCACTCCTCTATCTTTGGTTTCCTTTACCCAGAGGTCTCTAATTTCTGAAAGGATCTGTTTCTTTGCCAGTAATATTCGCTAGATATCCCATGGTCTTTTGGGGCCATACCTAACGCTGCTGTCCTGCCAGCAGACATCTCCAGGCTATCAATAAGACCGCTTTATTTTCCTATGGGACCCATTCTGTGTAGAAAAGTGTGCTTCTTGTGTGACATTAGGACAGACTCCTCATGAGACTTGGCAAGAAGAGAAAGAACCCAAGTCTCTCTTTTAGATGGTAATTCTGTCACTGGAGTATTACCTATGAAGAAGTAGCCCCAGATTTATGTATCTGTAGAAGATGTTAACTCTCTTGCTTCCTCATCTCCTGGGGCGATGCTCAAGCCTTCAGCCTCTGGCACAAGGAGAAGGATGGCAGCAGAGAGTGACCCACCCTGCTGGGTGGCTCAAGGCCCTGGTGTGCTGCTCGTGAGGATGAAGCACTGTTTGGCACTTCTCCCTGTCAGGACTGCTGGGATAAGTGTTTTGCTGATGTACTGTATTGTCTGATTTCAGTGGGGACTGGTTAAAGCCTTTGGGGAATAAATCTGTCTGCTGATGAACTATATGACCATAAGGCACTTAGAGATGCATTTAAAGCTTTTTGAGCAAGACTGAGTGAATAAATTATATAGAATTAATAAATTATTTACCTAAAACAAAATGCAGGGTAAAATTAATACCTAGACCAGCCCCTTATTTTCCACAATACTTAGAGAAAATCTGTAGCTGAGACAACTCTTCAGCTACTTTACATGTAGAACCCTGTAATTAGTGAAAGGTCATGGACATAATATTCCCCTTGTGAGTACAAATTTATCCTATTAAGAATCAGCCACAAAAAGTTTTCCCTAGACGTAAATCCAACTCAAAGACTTCTTTGTTTGAGATATTTCTTGGTTTGTTCCAATTTCTGATCTGCTCTTAATTGTTTGCCTGTCATGCAGATGATTCAGAGAAAGTACAAGTGACTCACTGATTTGAGAATCCTGTGGCATTGCTCAGAGAGGCTTTGACAGCATAAGGTGGCCCAAGTGATTCGCTACAGAATGAGGCTCAGGATTGTAGAAAGGCAGGAACATCCTCATTGCATTTCTGCAGAGAGACTGGACCAATTCACACTCCAAAGGACATGCACAAAAAGGCCAGGTAACTTGCTAGTTGGTAATTGCATACTTGACTTTTAACCTTGGTTACTTACATATGGACTTTTCCACTTTCTCCTAAAGTGACTGGATAAGGCCTTTCTCTGTTTCATCAGTGCTCCTCTTCCAGATGTTGTTAAGGAGGAGAGGATAGCGCGTCAGTCGATGCAGAGGAGCGACCAGCAGCTCTGGCAGATGCAACCTCTTGCATTGTGCATTTTGTTCACACCACTGCTGAAGACAAGGAAAACCTGCCTTAGGCTTCATCTTACTCCCTGGCTGGGAGGTAGCAAAGAGTTTTCTGCACCGTTAGCTGACTCTAATGAGACAAGGAATAATGAAACATGAATTTCTTTTGCAGAGAGAGCAAGGGCAGTATAGAGGCTCTTGTCATGGTTTAACCCAGCAGGTATCTAAATAACTTACTCACTCTCCCCTCCTCTCCCCTTTGTGGGATGGGGAAGGGAACTTGGAAATAATAACATAAAATTTGTGGTTTGAGATAAAGGTAGTTTAATAAGACAGAAACAGAAAGAAAAAATAAAGTAGAATTAGAATATACCAAACAAGTGATGCACAATGCTCACCACCCACTAACCTATGCCCAGCCAGTTCCAGAGCAGAGGCCCCCCCCAAGCCAGTTTTCCCTCTAGTTTATATACTGAGCATGACAACATATGATATGGGATATCCCTTGGGTCAGTTGGGCTCAGCTGTCCCTGCCATGTCACCTCCCAACTTCTTGTGTCTCTAGATTCCTTGCTTGTGGGCTGGGGTGAGAGACAGAAAAGTCCTTGACGTAGTTTAAATACTGCTTAGCAATAAATAAAACATCACTGTTATCTGGGATTACTCTCATCTTAAATCCAAAACACAACACCGTGTCAGCTACTAGGAAGAAAATTAACACTATCCCAGTCAAAACCAGGGCAGTTTTCTACTTGGAAATTGCATCACTCCTCCAGATGCACTTTCTGCATTGCTGCTTCCCATTCCAGATGCCATATCCATGCTATCAGACCAAACGGTGCTCTTATCTCCTGTTTTGATTTTCTCAGGAAAACCTCAGAAAATTAACCTGAGTTAGGTTTGAAGACCACCTTAGGTTTTAGAGTCACTGCTACTTGCCACTGGGGAACTTTGTCCTCAGCTTGAACGTATGAAATCCTTGTCAGGGAGCAAGCGATGCGAAACGTCAAGGCCCAAGCTGCAGTTTGCCTGCTACAAAGGCATGTCCACCCAGTTTTGGGCTACCAGTAAAAAAGCCCACTACTTCAGGTGTCTCTTTCTAAACCTGTAATGTTAAGGATCAATCTTAGGTATTTACAGGACACACTGGTCTGCTAATGATATTGGAAAGTGCAGAGCCTTCTCCCTGAGATCTCCACCACCGCGCTGGCTGGCGCTTTTGCTTCAGGCAGATGTGGTGTCAGAAAAGACAGAACCTACTCTAGTGCTGCAGCTTGATAAAGACGTCACTGATAGCTCTATCCAGCCTTAGAGGGAGATAAATGCTTAGTTAATGGTGTTGTTTAGAGAGAGAATTTAAGACGTGGCTTGATTTTTGTTTAGTTTTTAAATATTGTAACTGTTTCCTATTGTTAAAGTGGAGGCCATTGAGTCAAAGGATTATGTACAAAACACCTGAATTACAGAGGCTAGTAGTGCATATTTTCTACCTGCAAGAATGCAACCAGTTCTTCTGTTTTGGCTTCCCCCTCTTATCTGGTCTAAATTACAAGTATAGACTTTCACATGTGCAGGTGAACATACATCAGAAGGGGGACTTCTTATCAGTGTTAGCCTCTGCAGTTCAAGAAGTTGACGTGAAATGCTATCTACACAGTCTGAATGAACTTTCCTAATCTGCTGTTAAAATCCTGTCATAAGGTAGGAGTTCTGAAGAGTACAACAACAAAATCATCACTTTACTTTCAGGTAGATGCCAAAATCTTCTCTCAGTCTCAGTTTTTCCAAGTAGAAGACAGCAGAAGTATAATTAAGGTAATAAATCTGGTGTGTCTGGCAGAGGTCACCCTGGAAAAACTGCAGAAAAGACTTGGAAATTTATCAAGAAAGAACAATATTATGACAAAGGGAGAAACAATGGTTTTGGTTTTGTAATATTTTACCTGAGATTTCATTGTACCTAGGAAAATATGGGAAGAGGAAAAGGGGGAATTAAAAAAGTAAAGGGCAAGTTAACAGTAGTAAAAGTGTAAAGCAGTAAAAAAAACACTCAAGCAATGCATGGGAGCACAGTTCTAACAGTTCTGCAGATAAGTGACACATTCTTAGGCTTTGTTCTCATTAAAAATAAATTATTTGAAATTCATGTAAAAGTTGAAGATAAAACCACTATCTATGAAACAGCTTTGATGACTTCATGTAGCTTAGTATTTTTGGTCTGATTATGTTAGATAGCTCTTAGAAATAATAGCATAGCATCATTCAGGTTGGAGACATTGAATGTCATCTGTCATAAAATGCGGTCTTGTCTGGGATTTTTTCTGTCTCACACAAACATTATTAATAAGAATGTCTGAAGTCAGAGATAACAGGGTGAGAAATCAAGCTCTAACCTGCCTTTCCCTGTTAAAAATCTTAACGCTGAGGTAGGGTCTGTTTGAGTATTTCCCAGAAGTTTTCTAATGGCCTCTACTGCTAGGGAAAGTTCAGGTCCATCAATTGATTTTCTGTCTGTATTGGTATTTCCAACTTTAAAAAGAATTGGGAAGTTGTGTGGGAATTAGAGCTCTTAGAGACTGCTGTTTAGACAGCTGCTTTGTTTACCACACAGACTACCCAAAAGTGTTGCAGGGCAGGCAGGGCTTGGCAGCGGCAGGGCAGTTGTGTTTCTGCCTCTCGCTTTCTTAGCAGACACAGGCCAAAGTGTAACAGGTATTTCAGTCCCATTGAGCTCTTAATTAAGCACTTAAAAACGTTTGTGGGTCTGGTTCATGGAGTAAAGGAGGGTCTATGCAAAGGAATGGAAGGAGCCAGGGAACATCTAGTGGCAGGGCTGGGGATTGGTCTCGGGGAAACACTTTCCATAGAGCTTGAAGCGCTCCTCTGCCACTGGCCAAGTCTAGTTAGGGTCTGGGCTGCTGTTCCCCAGGAAGGGAACATCTTTCCACACTTTATTGCACATACAGAGTACATTTCCACAACTGCTTCAAACATGCCAATGAATAAAAAGAAAAGCGTCCTGATGACAGGAGCTGCTTGAGGTTGAGACCAAACTGCCTGTGACAGATGGCATGTCCTTGACTGACTTGATTGCTCTAAAGCACCTGCATGCTATGATAAATGGTCTACTTCAAGGACCTATTCCTATTAAAAGCAAAAATATTTCTAATTGTATTACCGTTCTGAGTATGGACCTGAGTATGGAGCTGAAATCCATGGGAGAGTCTGTCTTGCTGACATGCTCCTTCACAGTTTGAAAGAAAGTTTTCAGAAAACTGAGACTTATCTAATAAGGGGAAAAAAGAGAGAAATTAACATCAGTGACCTGAAGTTAAGATGAAAACAACTTTCTTCCCCATCCCTGGCCTCTCCAAAGGCTCCAAGCCTAATGGGTGTCTATAGTTTTCTGTTTGACATTGCCAGAATTATCTTCAGAATAAAGCCTATTCCTAAGCCCTCACTTGCCTCCTGAGCACAATATTTTCACACATATTTATGACTGAGCTCATTTTTAGGCCAAATTTCAGGCCAGGAGACACCATCCACTATGATACTGCTATGAACTGTTGTACCTGCACACGGCTTTGTTTGATGTGTTTATGGAGGCAAGGTTGCATAGAGGGTGATACCTATTCTTTAATTTTGACCTTTATATCTTTTACAGTATGCATTTTTTCATGGATTCAGCCTGCTGTCAAGAAGAAACACATGCTGTAAAATGCAGGAAAAAAGGCACAAAAGGTATTCACAGCAGCTACTTTCTCCTAAATTTAATCACTATTTTCTATGCAAGTATGCATAACAGATGATCATTTGTCATCCTCATTAATAAGGATATAAATAAGGACAACAAAATTAGAAAGTAAAATAGGAAATGTATTAAAGATAATTCTCTCAAGACTTGACCAAGCTCCAGCCAAGCTCAAAGCACACAGCAATATATACCACTCCCTTTGAATGAGAACAAAGAAATCAACAAACGTACATCTGCTGAACTCTAGTAGTTGCCTGTATGTATGGTCTTAGTCCACAACAAACAAAAGGTAAAGTACATCAGCTTAAAATCTCTTTTCTTGTATCTCCAGACCTGCTCTGTTGGTCATTCTGCAGCTCACCAGGTGTGTGGTCTGTAACTGAGCAGCAGTGCCTTGCTCATGTGTTTGAGTTAATTGTCCCTACTTTGAAGACCTTTTCTGATTTTCTTGTTTTGGCCAAAAAAGGAGATACTCACTATTAAGGCAAGGAAAATACAACAAAGGAAAAAACAAACTCAGCAACTAGTTTAGGGCAAGTGATGTGATTGTGAGCAGTCATGCAATTAAGGCAGCTGAAGAGTGTTTTCCAAAATTCATTGTGCTGTTAAGGTTAAGGTGTCCTGTAAAAGGGCCCTCAAGCTAAGAAGAACTTCTGTTTTGTTTCTAAAGTAATATAAAAGTTGTTTTGGATTTAGAGATTTCTTAACTTTCAGAGCTGAAAGTGGTCTCTCAACAACCGACCAGAAGCAGCAAAGAGCTGGAGCACATCAGAGCCAAGCCCTGTGGCCTCCTTCCTCCTTGGCTGTGGGAGGTAAGTAGCACAGGAGCACAGAGCATCCAGTCTGTGTGGGAGAAATCCTTACACACATGCCAAGGGAAACTTCAGCTGGAGAAAGGAGGTCACCATTTTGTTTTAACTTGCTCTATTGGAGTGGCATAATAGACAGCAAAGTCTTTGTGCCTGTCTATTTGCAAAAGTTGTAGTAATTATTTTGCCATGCTTACTGTTTCTCTGTAAGGATAGTGTAGTAGGAGTTCATCTTCACAAATCCTTTTAAAAGGTCACTACTTATGAGAAATAGTCTCAAACTTGCATTTACTTCAGAAACAACTGCCAAATGAGCTATCCTCCATGTCTAAAATGCCTGTTTATCTTTTGCTGGAGACACAAGAGAATGATTTGCACTGGTTATATTTGACTGTCACTGATATACCAAATAGAAATAAGAAACGACTGATTATTTGAACAAAGTTCCAAATGTGAACACTGAAACTGAATAGAAACTTTATGGATAGTTTGTTGTCTTCTTTTGTTGGGCTAGTTGATTTCTGATCTCAGTAACACTTTTGTTTTTTTACTCACCTTGTTTAACTCCTCCAAGTTTGCAAAAAGTCTCCACAAATCCACATCCAAGAGAAATTCATTACTCTGGAGGTATTTTAGGGTGTTCACAAATATCTTTAAAACCAAAACAAGTCCATATTATTTACAATTTATACCATTTCAATGTATCTTCCCCCCAAAAAAAAAAAAAAGTATTTGCACTGTAATTATTATGAAATTATAATTTGATTTGGGGAGGGAAGACTATGGAGAGAAAGTTTCCTGCTCTGACTAAAGGCTAAATATTGGGGTTTGTGTGTGGAAGACAATATGAGTGATGTTTTTGGGGTTTCTTTGTGACTATCACAGAGGCAGCTATGTCCCTGCTGTGTCCTCTGGCAGAAGAGGGGCAACTGAACCATCTGAAGATTCCGTGTGCAAAGGAATTAGTAACATCAGCTGCACAGTTACACATTTCTATGACCTTTCTGAATGTTTTCCTTCCCATTTCATGCATCTAAACTGCTTGGAGTTACTATGGGAAAAAAATTATATTGTTGGAATAATGTAAGTAGAGGCCCTGTGAAGATTTTTCATCTCTTTGGATTGTTTTATTAACCTCCATTGCATGAAAACTGCATGTGTATTTATTAGCTGTTGAAGATTTTATGTTGTTTAGGCTGTTTGAGTCATACTGAATCTGACCTAAATCTGAAAAAAGCTTAAAATTTATGGATTACCAAGTAGATTTTTTTGTTTGTGTGTGAAAAGCATTAATGAAAAACCCATCACCCAGTTGCCAAGACTGAATAGCTAGTGAGAGTGTTTTGCTTAGCCTTGTGTAATTCTTTAGTTACCATGAACAGATTGACCTGAGAGCTTAAAGAGGATTTATGGTGGTCTTAAAGCTCCCTGTGGAGATTCATTAAAATCAGTGGAATATTTCTATACTTAGAAGCAAGTAGGTATTTGTAAACAGGTTACCCAAATGCAATGAGTTCTTTCTTTGGCAGAAGAGTTTGGGAAGCTGGCATGGACTGAATAGTTCATCATTCACGGGTCATGCAGAGCTGGCTAAGGCTTGTCTGTGCTTTCCTACATCAGACTCACCAAAGGGCCTACATGTCTGCTCTTATCATCCCTCCCAGAATTCACCACTTTTTCAGTTTTTCAGATTTCTGAACAAAGTGTACAGAAGGAAAGATCTTTCCTCCTACCTTGGACCAATAGCTGGTCCTGTTATTCCCTTTCCTCCTACTTCCTGTTCTGTCCCACCAAGGAGAAATTCAGCCCACTCCTCTATTTCCATTACTTTGCAGTACTTCTTGTACTGTCCAGGCTTACTTTTCAGCAACATGGAAAATGTTTCACAAAGCTCTTTCCTTTGACTAATAAAAATCCTAAATTGTCTGTGCAGAATAAGAGAAAAATTATAAGAAAATATCTTTGGAACTTTCCTTCCTTTTAAATGGATACATTTAATTTTGATGAGTAATGACTGAATAGTGCAGCTATTCTTGTAACTGTGTGTAATATTCTTGTTCATATTTCAAACTCTTAGAATTCACTATGATGGAGGTAATATAGATTTTTTGCGGGAGACGAACTGTTTTAAGTATGCTTGTTTTCATGTAATATTAGAACTACAGGTCTGCTGAATTCTGAGCTTTTCCTGCTCTAGTCAGGATAATCTAACCATAGCTCTATATGAAGTTAAATGAAGAGGATAATGTTCCATATTAGTAGTACAGAAACATTCAGTTGGAATAGTACAGTACAGAAACAGCTAACTGGAGAGTGGCTTCAGCTTCATGAGATGAATAGTGGGATATTAGTTGAAATTACTGAAAGAATATGTGATCAGATGGTAATGCCAGAGCACTAGGTTGCATCACTAGAAAGTGATGTTTAGAAGAAGATATGCAACCATAATGACAGAAACCAAAGGGAACTATGAAAACAGGATGAGCAAGAAAGATGAGAGGAAAAACCGAGTGCTTAATACATTCCCCACAGACACCTAATGAGAGGTTTCAGGTGGCTTTGTGTCTGCCATACTGACAGCAGAACAAATGATGTAATTATTTTTGTGAAGTGAAATCTGAAGTTACCATCTTGAGAACCAATAAATGATCCAGAAAGTAAGTGCATTCACTTGTGAAAAGTTCCCACACTGCTGCTTCTTTTTTCACTTCTAACCGGCTGTCGACATCTTTCTGCTCAGTCTGTTGCTCATTTATAAATTCATGCCAAGATTTACTCTATTGATTGAAGAAAAAAGAAAACCAGCAATTGTTTCATCAACCGCTTCAGACCTTATGAAAAGAATCTATGTTTTATTTCCTGAAGACCTCATCTGCCAGTATTAGTGATTTTTCTTCTGAAAGCTTAAAGATTTCTTTAAAAAATTTAAAAACTTGACATTTTCCTCCAAAATATTTATAATACAGACACACTGAATTTGAAAGTAATGCAGTAGGATAATCTATGTTTGTGGGATGTTGTATCAAAAAGCAGTGGGCAGCTTGCAGATGCTGAGGAACTGAATCTGTTGTGCTGCTGTTGGAAAGCAGGGATGGATGATAACTTCTTATTTTCCAGATGATAAAATCAAGGTACAAAGGACTATGTCTTCATAGTCACTTGGAAATTGTTTTGTTTAGTCCTAAGGTGGCCACTATCATCTTACTGACCTGCTCCAAAGTCAGTTGTCCACATGTAAGTTAGACACTGACAGGAGCCCTCAACTACTGTGTCTCTGGGAAGCTGCAAATAACAGCAATATTAATAATAATAATGAGAAGCAAAAGGTTTGCTTTGGAGAGGGGTTGGTGTTAGGTGTGTGTTATCTGAAAATCACCCTCGTAGTCCAAGCTTGTTGTTTCTGTGGCTAGGGGCCAGAAGCCTTTTTTATCTGGCAGACAGGTTTTGGTGGGATTTCTGCAGCCAAACCTTGGTGTTGGCTCTGATTGCTTTGTGGCTGCCTCTGAGCACAGTCCTAAGGCAGCAATGTGGGTGACTGTGCCCCATCTGACATCTCTGACACACTGCAGTTTCTTTCCCCAGACCTGCATGTGCTGCTGAGAGGGTTGTCTTGAGGGCTTTTTTCTGAAGGTGGTACTTTCCTGACCTAAGACAGTCTGAAAACCTGGCAAAATGCAGATGGTCTTGAGGGCCCTTGCTAACCTTCTATGGCCCTCAGTTTCCCCCTTGCCCCTCTATTTCAAATGACAAAAATGTACCTTATGTATTAATATACCTTATGCATTAATGTAACTTATGTATTAATTTAACAGAAAGTCTATCCAGATTAATGTGCTGAAAAATATTAACTTAAAAACAACACAAAATTCCTCTCCCATTGTTAAGTATCTTCGATAAGCATACTGAGCATTTTGATACCTTAAAGCAGAAAAATTCATATGTGCAGCAGTCTATGATCTTAACAGTTGAAAGACAATTTTCCAGATCAGATGCTTGCTTCTGTTTGTCTTTACCCTGTTGAATGACAGAAAAACCACCCCTAATTCATACAAGTGAAGTTTACCCAGCTCAGTAACCTTGCCCTAATCTGAAAGGAGTTTGCCCTTCAGCGAGTGGTTTCTTTATATTTCGTGGCTCTCCTACACAGAGACAATGCAGTGATGGCAGGTTTCTTTGTAGCTATGGGTGGGGTGTGGAGGTGCCACTACATCTGGATGAGTAAGGTCTTATTTATGTAACACAATGGGCTACCCTTGGAAAACAAAACAAATAAGATATTTTTCTTCCTTTAGCACTGTCAGACATAGGTAACAACAGATTCATAGTTGAAATCATCCTCCTGATGAGCTATATATTGAATAAGCTTTCTTGGTCAGCTACAGAGTAGTGTCTGTAAAATGAGCTTTCAGAAAGCTTAAAGAGCAGCAGCAGTTTGTGTGAGGGATCATGAAATAAAAACTTTTGCTTTTGTTTTGGTTTTGTGTTTTCAGGCCATGTAAAAAGTTTAATCATTATTTATGAACTAACTTAAATGCAGTGGGTACAGACTTATAAGGTGTTTGCCTAACTTTTATCTGCTCTCTGGAACAGTATATTATATGGATTTCTATTGTCCGAACTTTAGGCACTGAACTCAAGCCAATTTTGAAATTTTATGTGTTTGATTACAATATTTGAAACTCAGAGTATAAGTTCAGCTCTTAATTTTGAAAGATAGCTTGAAATGGAGAAGAAATTTATGGAATATAAAAGCCTCAGAAATCACTTTTTTCCTGAATATCAAGTATCAATATTTTATTTCAGATTTCAAGCAATTTGCTGAATTTAAAAATTCTCACTTTTAGGCCATGCTCCTTCAAATGCTATAGAACTGCTATAAAATGAAGAGGGAACTCTTGTACATACTAATCTCAGTACTTGCAATGATTTCATTTGCACCAACTCTTCTTTGATAAAATGCAAAAAATATTGGGGAGGGACTGTTCACAAATATATGCTTGTGGGGGAAAAGTTATCAAGACACTTGTAAATAATTTTTTGAATTCCAAACAGTATGTAGAAAGGAAATTCAAATACCTTAGTAACTGAAAGTTTTCATAAATGGAAAAGACAAGGAAATATGTTAGACAAGGATATTCACTGAATTGTGTTGGTGTGTATGCTTTTATTGGCAACTGTGAGGGCACCCACGAGGGCATAAAAGGCCTAAGAAAGCACCTGAAAAGCTACTTAGATAGGTAAAGCTTAGATTCCTTCAACATGAGTGGGAGTTTGGCAGACACTCCAGAGCCCTAAGACATGCAGAAAATACGGGATACACTATGATCAAAGCAACAATGCAAGTGACTTGTTCGCCTTGTGCTACCTCACCCTGCACTGGACCTGTTCCCACCCCTGAACACCCTGTTTGAGACCTTCTGCATTGCCCATCCCACTCTGTCCTCCTGGTGTCACAAGACACTTCTCCTGCCACCACCCCCAGGGACAGGGAGCAGTGGCACTGACTGTTCGCATGTGCATCGTGTGCAGTGGCACTGGTGGCTGCACTGGTGCCACCCAGGCTTCATTGTAGATTAATGTCCAAGCACTCCAAAGGTGGGTGGGCTGAGACCTCTGAGTTCAGCTCACCTTCTGGCTGCCTTTCTCCAAGGGCAGAAAGTAAAGAAGCTATTTTTACCTACATTAGTTGTTGGAGAAGGGAAATTTGGTGAAAGGAAAAAAAAAGGTAAAATACTCACAACTCCTCTTTTGACAAATGGCCACCTTGACTTTTTGGGCTCTAATGGGTAAAACAAATGTTATCAGTAAAGAAACAAATAGCTAAAAATAAAACTGTTATTTATATTATTTTTATATTTATATATATATATCTATTCATATATTTATTTTTGGGTGAAGCTTGATAGAATATACACTACTTGACTCAGATTTAATACTTGTGTTTGGGCTGTTTGTGCATCAGACTTAAACCCCTAGGTTGTTGGGTTCCTCCTAGCAAGAATTATGATTATCTGTGATGTGATTTTGGATGATGCTAAACACTCCTACTTATTTCAGATGATCAGTATTTGATTGCCAAATCGTTACATGGGAAAATCATCATACCTCAAGACAATTCTTGAAGGTATTGTTTTAAAGCAAAAATTAGTCTATGTGTGCACATTAGTGACAATTTGGAGTTATGGAGATATTCAGAACTCCTGTGAATAAACAATCATACAAACCCTAAGCCTCAGATCTGTCATGAGGCTGGCACAGTGGAGCCAGCTAAAATCTGTGGTCCTCGGTGGGGCACAGGGAAAGATGGGGATCTAGATTTAGGAATGCACTGATGAGTGGTGAGGAGTGACTGTGTTCAACAAGAAATCTGGAAAGATTTTGTGTTATGTGGCACCTATTTTCAGGCCTGTGTATGAGTGGAAATCACAGTCAAAACTTTGTCCTTCTAGTTTTTGGAGGTCTTGGCTGTTCTGGGAGTGGCTGGCTTATTTGCTGTCATGGAGATTCTGGAGCTGCAGCCAAGCTACCTTGACTGACTTCTTTTTGAGAAACTTTTGATCCCTGGCCAGCAGGATCTTTGGTCTCTGGCAATCACACTTCCAACATTACTATATTCCACAATAGATACTTGTGGAAATTGCTTGCAGGTCTACATTTCAGTTTGGGAAGGTCTTGTGAACAACCTCTAGCCATGAGTTGCTGCCTGCAACTCATGTTGTCAGAACCTTGTTGCCAGAACATTACTGGAAAGGGCAGTACAGGCCCACTCTCTTTCCTCCGCTTGAAGCTGTGAAGGGAGGAAATTTTATCTTATCTGCTTGCATTGGCAATTGAATCACTTTGATGTGGGGTAACAGGACCCCTCACTGAGGCTGCACTTCCTCATGTTGTCATTGTTCCCATCCTCCCTCCCCATCCCACATGCACACGTATTCCAGTCCTGGCTTTTGCTGGGCTCAGAGGAGCAAACCTCTCCCCACATCCCCTGCCCCACATCTGACCTGCACTTAGCAGGAAGGATGAGTAGGGCAGGTAGTCCGTGGCACTGTCTGACACCAGGAGGTCTCCAGGGAACACCTTGAGTCCCGGCAGACTCACTACCAGGGAGCTACGCCTGCGCTCAGCTGATCTGTGAGATGCAACAACAACACATGTCATCTCTCTCCACTTGAGGCTGCAGAGGAAACTTCTGAAATGCTCCTTGCTGATACAGGAGAGAATCAGCTAAAAAACCAAATCACAGTAGCTATGACAGAGTGTGTTAAAGGAACAATGAGGAGAAAATTTCAGTGATCAGCATCAGATATCTAATTATCTTTCAAACTCCTCAGTGATGCTGAGATCAAGGTGCTTATGGACATGGCTTGCCTCAGATAATAATTATAGCATTTAGATATTGGAAATACCTGAATTCTTCTGAGGTTAGGCAAAAGTATTTTTTTATTTTGAATGTAATAAAACTTAGTGGCCCTACTGATAAAAAATAAATTACTCTTCCCAACTATCGTTGCTCCTAACAGAGGACATTGTCCAGCATGTAGATCCATCAAGGAAAGTGACACAGGCATTCTATATCCAACTGTGTGTTTGTGCCAGAGGCTGCTTGCATTCATGTACAGAAACTGTTGGTGCATATCAAAAAGCTTTTTGGATTTTGCTAATAATCCAACTGATATGGAATTAATTTAGCATACTCCTGCAGAGGAACTGGTGTCTACAGCTGCTGTTGTGCTGCCTTCAATTGACTGATACATGAAGGCTACATTAGGGTTAAAAGGGTCAGTAATTAAGTAGCTGAGGGAGGAAGCACAGAGGGTGTGTACATATATAAGAATTCTATTTTTCAGTAACCATTTATTGTGCATGGTATTTTTGGTCAGTTAAGCATGATTCTTACTGGGATTTTCTTTTTGCCTAGGCAGTTACCTTACTGTGAATACCTAGCCATTTGCCAACACTTGATGTGAAATCTGGCAGGTATATTTTTCCCCTTAAGTGCATGAATAGTCACTTCAGAACTTATCAACTGGCAGTTGAATTCTGAGGTAGAGAACTGGGATTTGATGTGTATAGTAGGACATGGAGATGATACATTTTTTTTTTATGATCTGACAGTGGCATTGCTTGCAATTGCCTTAGCAATTGAACGATACGGATGAAAGCTGCTCTAACAACAGAGAGGGTTGAAGGCTGTCAGCAGGGCCAGGTCTGAGACTTAACACTTGAAGGATGGACATATTTGGGCTTGAAAGCTATGTGTTGAGGAGGTTACAATGTACAATGCAGGAGTTCTTTTAAAGTTTTTCTGGCAGTCCTACTGAATGAGGAACATAGGATCTGTTTATTTAGCTTTAGGATTTACAATTAAAATCTCACGTTTCTCATGAAATTGGCCTCTTAGTATGTAGTTTGAGAGTTTTTATGCATGGAGTCTGTTTCTAGGTTGTCTGCAAGCCCATACTGATGCAAGAGAAAGGAGTGCTCCTCTCAGCAGTACCTTCCTGAGAGGTATGCTGAGTACTACCCGATGCAAATTTTCAGTGTTGGTAACGATTGAATTAAGATGCTACTAAAACCTAATGATTGTATTAAGATGGGATCTCTTGGGCAGCTGGGTTGTTATACAAGTCAAATGCTGTAATATAATACAAGGATAATTCTTAAAGATGTTGTTACTGTGCTAGGAAATTTAGGAGATTTATTTCAGGTTGACTTCATGGTGAAATTTTGTCAATGTATTATTGATTTTTAAAGTATCTAGCCTGCTACTAATTTTAAAACATATTTGAAGCTGAGGATTTGTCGCTTATGATAAGTAGATAAGAAGATAAGTAATGGAAAGCATAGTTCCACTGCAAGTGAGTTAAATGATGTTATTACCCAGATCAAAAAGACCTTGAACTTCAGGCACACATATGGCTAAACAAGCTCTTCAGATGGGTGTGCAAGCCTGTGGAGTGTGGGAGCATGCCAAGGTCACTCTGATGTCTATCTACAATATACCTTTGCAATCTGACAAGCCTGGGGTGATTAATGGCTTACATGCCTAAACTATGTACTCGTGCTTCACCGATGAAGGTACATGTATCTGTGGTTTCCTGGTTTGATGCCCGTAGACATACTAGACACATTAGATGATTTTGTTGGTTTTTCTGGAGAAATTAAATTACTGAAGTGCTGTGTAATACAATTCACCAGGTTTTGAGTCTGTATACAATATTTTAACATCTTCTCTTGCCTGCAGACCCTGTAGCTTTGTTTTTTTCTTCAGTTTTTGTTTGTTTTTCTTACCAGGGTCAGAGGACTGCATTGATTGAGTGAAAGAAATGTTTGTATTTCAGGGACAAACTCGAGCATCTGAGGAGATATCATCTGCAATAGTTCCTCCTTAAAATCCACTTGTTTTTTTAAACATGATAATGTCACAGGTTTGCATCAGGAAGTTATGAAAAATTATTAAAGACATTGAACAAACTCGTGGTCTGGAAAAGTAAATGTCTTATGTGTAGAGGTGTTTCTAGGGCATGGAAAGTGTTTGTATCTTTATCTGTCCATAATCTCAGCCTAACCAGCTATCCAAGGGAACAGACTTCTATATAAACCACCTCACTTAAATAACAGATATGTTATTTAAAGGAATATTAACGAGATGAGAATAAAAACAACAGAATAGGTTACTAAGGTAAATATTAAAGGGTGATCACAGTACTGAGATGTATGCCAGGTGGTTGCATTGTTACCCAAGCCACTCAAGGAGGATATTTGGACTCCCTGATTCAAAGAGTTAGCATGGAAAATGACTTATTGTCAAGAGTAAATTATTTATATGATTGTATAAGGAATTAAATGGACATGATCCTGTGCAGTGTGCTCCAGGATGACCCTGCTTGAGCAGGGAGGTTGGACCAGATGACACACTGTAGTTCCTTCTAACCTTACCCATTCTGTGATTCTGTGGCACTTTGTGGGCATAAGAGACATTAAAAGAGGAAGAGGAACACTTCAAGATAGATGAGCCCAGCTCCTTCAAGTTATTGAAAATAAGCTGTCTTGGCAGTTACTGGGAAGACTCTTCATTAGATAATTTGCTTTCGGAAATTTTCAGAAAATAATTTGCTTTTCAGCAATCCAGTTTTCCACCCAGTCTCTGATATGCTGAATGGTGCAAGGAGAGAATAAGCTCAGAGTAAACTCAAGGTTTGGTTTTAGTAATGTTTTCTTCCATGGTAGTGTTGGTTTAGCATCTCACCTTCTCTCTACCACATATACCTCTCTCTATGCTGCCCTTCTTTTCCTTTTTTATTTATTTATTTTGGCTGATTATTTTTAATCAGCATCAGTTCAACAAGTTACCATGCTGAGAGAGATGTGCTGGCATTCCTGACTGAGAGGCAGGGGGAAGGCTACTTAAAATGAGCTTAGGTGCTTTAAGAAAGCTTTTAAAAAAGTACACCCTGGAAGCAGGGAGAAGAGATGTTCATTAAAACCGAAGGATAGAGGTATGATTTTACCCAGACTGTATTTAAGTCAGTCTTGAAGAGGGGTTGCCAACTGTCCTAATGTGCTTCCAGATGGAGAGAATAATCTAACATTTCAATAGTTTTCGCTGGCTGTGATAAGAAGGGATTAGCTGTTAAGGAATTAGACTAATGACTTGGATAAAGGAGGAGCTGAATACAGGCTTAATCCAGACCTTGGACCAAATTAAACTTGACAAAAAAGGTTTAAAGCAGAACCTGGTGATTATTTTTTTTAATATATTTTTGCACATTCTAATATTGATCAAGACAAAAGATAGAAGTCATAATACATCATCCAAACCACCTTTTGACAATCTTTCCTGCTGGTGCCTATGAAAAATCTTGCTTTTTTTTCTTCTGTAGTTTCTTGGTTTTAAAAGGTGCCTGGACAAAATCCAGAGCCAATATCCTAGCTGGCATACAGTGGCTTCCCTTTGAAGGCACTATAGGCAAGTGGTAGCAAGAGAAAGTGTTTAATGTTCTCCTGTTTAGCCATCTGCACTCAGTGTCTTCAATTTATCCCCAGAAGTTTGCTACAGAGCACGCAAATCTTCATCTTGTCAGTGAGACATGCTTATGTGTTACAGTTTTGAGCTGGATCAGACTAGGCTCTTCCCACTATAGGTACAGATCACTTGTTTTCACATCGAGGCGAAAAGATCTTTCCCTCCCTTCCTCTCTCCATCTCCATTGTAAATTCAAATGCTAAAGACTGGGTTGGACATTGTAACAATTCAGAAAATCTAGGAGGTCTCTTCTGCAATGAACATGTAATTTCAGATGCATGCACACATCCCTTAAACCCTGCCTAGGGAACTGTGGTGTCTAAAGACTCATAGACTGTATCGGTCTTCTCCAAACCTGTCAGTCCCAAACATCCTCAAGGGGATCATGCAGTGAAGTGAGCACTACTTCATCAGCAAGAGAGGGATAGTTAACAAGGGAGGTACTATCTCCTGCTCTCTGTTTTGTGGGGGAAAAATAAACTTAAACTCTATCCTAAGCTTTGCCATAGCATTAATTCCTTGAACTATAATTTTCATCCTCAGAAGAAAATGTAACCAAGTCATTTAACTGACTAAACACCCATTATCTTGCATGTGCTTTAATTATATTAGATGAATGGCTTATTCTAATTTAAATATTAACATTTATGCTCAAATTTCAGCTTTCTGTCAACTAACTTTACTCCAAAATACATCTCTAATCTGAAGCTAAATTTAGTCAGTTGTCTTTTATGCATCCTTTTCTGGTAGTCCCCCTTGAGCATAGTCAGTACCTCAGTTCTTTGACCTTTGCTGATATGGACTGTAGTGCCTTAATCATGGTCTTTTAACCAGCTGCAGGGTTTGTCAGGTGACTCCTACCAGGGTTAATCTCCAGATTAGACCTATACCCCTTTATGGGCCAAGACGATACCTCAGGTCAGTGACCTCTCCTAACTTTGAACATAACCAAGTCTGTCCTAAGCATTTTCTCCAGCCCTACTTCTGTGGTTGTTCCAGAAATGCACACAGCCAGATGTCCTCACTGGCCTCTGCAGCCACCTTCTGAACTCTCCTGTTAATCATGCTGCTAAGCTTCTGTATGCTGAAACCCTATGCTCTGTGTTACCTCAGCAGTGTAGACCAATGGCTG